GACAACGTTTTTACAACAGTGATAACCTTGATCAGCAAAGATCAATGTCGAATGGAGATAATAAGAATTTATTTGATGTCAAGTATAAAGTACTACTACTTGGTGATACACTTGTAGGCAAGACATCATTACAACGTTTTATTGCTGGTAGAGATTTTCGAACAGATATTGGTGCTACTATTGGTAAGCATATGTGGAATTTTTTCTTTCAATAAAAAATTCATTAGAATTTGTGTTCTTTTTTGTAGGTGTTGATTTTGTTAATAAAATTATTCCTGTTGAACAATCTAAGATTAATTTACAAATATGGTAAGATCATATTGTATTTACTAAATTCTATAATAGAAAAAAAATCTTGAAAGATATACTATTCGCTTTATTAAAAGATAATATTGCATGTTTGTCATTAGATTATGGTAATAAAAGATCAAATAGATCATTGTAGATTTATTTGCTATGTTTCACTCTCTGACATCAATGATCCTAAAAGAAAAACTACTGTACTTAATAATAAGTGCATATACTAGGGTGATATATACAACACTAGAATTAGCATCTTCAAATAAAGATAAAATGAGAGTAAAACAAAACATAGAGGATGAGTTATGATATCTTCCATATTGATAACCGCTATGAATGCAGTGAACTTTGATTTGATGACTAATTTAAGATACAACCGAATATGCATACATATGAGACAAATCGGTTAGAACGATAAAGTTTGAACCGCTCGAAGCGGTTGCTCGAGCAACAAATAACCATTCAAGGATTTAATAGTACTCTTGAGATATTTTGTCTCATATGCATAACATAGAACATCGAGAATACGTTCGTCATAAGTGAATGCGAAAAATAAATCATTTCAATAAAGACAGTGATAAGGTCGCATCAGTGATGTATAATAAAAGTGCTTAAGATTCATTAGTTACAAATCTATGAATGAAGGCTAGAGAGCATAAAGTATTATAGATCATTGTTATATGGTAAATGATATCGTTTTTTTTTTCGTTCATTATTTTGAAGTAAAGCATATAGTTCTCTACTGCCTAGCTGCTTAGTCTAGGGGAAAGGCTGCTGAGCTCCTGTCCTCATTGATTGAATCCATCCCAGCTAAATTTTTTCATTAGACAGAGCCCGGCCATTTGAGCATATCGCTATCAAAATCTTAGTCACGCTACAACTAATTAAAATCTTATCTGATTTTCTTCTTGAATACTTCAGTTTTCTAGCTAATCAATACAACACGTAATTCAATGCAAAATTACCATAACGAATCAATATGTACATGTTCATTTTCCTAAAAGAATGTATCTGTTACCTAGATCGAGTGTTTACGACTGTAAACAGCAGTCTATTATATGATTGATAACTCGTAAATGATCGTAAAATATATCGCATGTCAACCATCTATTATAGTAAATCTTTTATCTGTTTATAATCAAACGTTTCACATGATACACTTGAAAATAATTTGTTAGGAAGTCATACAATCGTAGAAAAGTAAAGACTCTAGTAGAAGATATCATTGTTCACAATGAAACCTAGTAATCTCTAATGAAGATGTGGCCCGGGCAGTTCACGGCCTAACACGGCAAGCATGATTCATTTCTGAACGACTGCTACACTCTGGCCTCTTCTTTTTTTTTTTCGTTCGTCAGCTATCTGCGCCTTAATATTTCTGATCTTTAATAATCATGTGTGTAATGAACCTTTACCTTTTCACATTTTTAACCAAAAATGTAATCTAGATGTAAGACAGATTTGTTTGTATGAATATTTTGTATATTTAGGGATACGGCAGGTCAAAGAAATTTTCGAACTATTGGCCGAGGTTATTATGCATCAACAAAAGCATTTGTTCTTGTATATGATGTTACAAATATGGAATCATTTCGTCTAATTGAACATTTTAGTCAATTAATTGAACAAGTTTGTCGAAAGAAAATTTATGAATAAAAAATTAATTTAAACTTTTTATGATTCTAGACTGGATTAGATATGGAACGTCGATATTTAGTAGCCAATAAAATTGATTTAATTGAAGATCGAAAAGTTGATGAAGAATTAGGTCAACGAGTAATAAATTTTTTCTTATACTTATAAAGATTTACAACAACAAAATGTTACTATTTTACAGTTTGCTCTACGAAATAGTTTGACATATTTTGAAACAAGCTGTAAAACAGGTGAAAATATTCAAGAATTTTTTGAACAAATTGCTTCTGACCTTGTTCGTCAACATCATCCAAAATTAGTATGTATTTTTCTTTCATTTTTATATCAAAAAAATAAAAAAAAAAAAAAATTTTTTTTTCTAGCTTGAATCTCATCTACCAATAATAAATAATTTTGCTTTTAATTATCATGTTCCACCAACTATTGATCATAAATTAAGTGAAAAATTACGTAATGCTAATAATCAACAAATTGATCACACAAAAAAGAAAAAGAAATCTAAACGTACAGAATTTTTATCATCAAATTCAACGAATAAAAAAGAACGTTTTCATTTTCATCGTTTTTTTATCTGTTGTAATCCAAGAAATACAACTGATACTGAAAATTAAATGAATATTTATATACTCAAAAACAAAACATGAATACAACAACTTGCAATTTCTTTACTGTGTGATATTTTTTTATTTATTTTCTTTTCGTTTGTTTTGTTTATATTGAAGACGTTAGTCAGTTATATATATATTTGTATGTCAACCGTATGACAGTGGTCTTGTTTTTATATAATCTATTTACAAATATTCTCTTTTTATTGAATGTAATATCAATATAGAAATAAATTCGTTACAATAACACACTTATGAAAAACGAAAAGTGAGGTGTCTTATTGAAAACAATTAATAATATAAATTATGGAGTAGCTTCTGATCTACAAGGTGATAAATAGATGAAGATCTCTATGCTTAGTTTTGAACCGCAAATTCTTTTGCTATCGATAAAAATTTAATTAAATTTTCAATTCATTTTAATATGGAAGTTTAATTATGAAATTAAACTCAAGACATGACACTCACTTACGACTTCCGGAAGAAGTTGTTAAAATAAAAAGTTTTCAATAGAAGTTCTACGATATAATTATGTGATATATGATGAAATTAATTTGATTAGAACCTGAAGATTTTAATAATATATGTTGATATGCATGAATTATAATATGTAGCCTATGGCTATAGTTAATATGATTATAAGAGATGATGAAATTTGTGAAAGAAGCATGAATAAGATAAATTTTCTTGCTATTCGTTCAAATTTTATAAAAAAAAAAAAATTTTAAATCTAAATTTTACCAAAACCTATGGAATACATCAGAAATTTAAAACCAAAAAAGAATGTTATAAAAGAAAATCAATGTAGTTGTATCATAATATAGCCAAGTCTCTTTCCGTATGGTATTATTTTTATTAAAAATCGAGATTATTTTCTTTTATCACGCAAGTGAAAGAGAACATAAATCTATCAAAATAGTTCGTCAAGGTTGAATTCACTTGTTTCTAAAGTTAGAATATCTATTTAGTAAACTATTCTTCTTAGAAAATTCAATTATCAAGCATTTTAATTTATTACAAAAGAAACTAATGTCTTGAAAAATACTTCCTCTATAATGTCTTTTTATAGAAATGAATAGATGTAATCATCTGATTTCTTCATTCATTGTAATAAAATGTTTTTTTTTCGTTTCAAAACTAGATATACATTAATAACGAGTGACACATAATAAAAGAATCAAAATATTTTCTTCTTTTTATTACATTTCTCAAGATATAGAAGAAACTGTTTTTAACTTGTCCACGTACAAAGAGTTGAATCTCACATTTGATGGCCATGTTTTATTCTGAATGCACTACTTTTGAAATTCATGTTTTCTCAAATCAGTAGTCTTGCATCAACGATTTATTAGTATACTATCGGATGTAAAAATTTAGTAACACTAACATCGAACAACGAAAATCTTTAGATTGCTTCGAATTAGAAACTTGCAATGTCATAGATTTGGCAAAAATGGATCTTTCACTTTGTTTCCAATATTTTTGTTTGAAAACTTTTTCGCCAGTTTTTTTTCGTGAAATTATGAAGCTTCATGAGATACTAATTTCATATGATATATTTTCGATTTCCGCCGAATCGTTGTTTAAAAATAACTTTAATAACTGCTCTGATTTTATGACACTTGCTGTTGAATAATATGTTACTCTTTTCAATTTCTCCACAACAGGAAAAACTTGTTTTGAAAGACTCTTCAATGTCTTCACGAGTGTCGAAAAAGGAAAGGCAAAATGTTTTGACCCATTTTTTACGAGCTACGCGTTAATGATTAAAAATAGACATGCAAACGGAAGTCATTTTTTTCCCCAGCGATATCTATTTGAAATATTGAGAATAAAAAAAACAACCGAGTTTAAAGTAGCGCGAAAAGTTAAATAATAATTAATTCATTATGATTATGTATATTAATCAAATCATATTAACTCATTATTGTTCAAATATATTCTATGAACATAATATAATTGAGTATGACATTGATTTTTCTTTTTGTTGATGTATGTAGACAGATAGGTAAAGAACATAAAATTCAATGTTGTTTAATAAAATTAATAATAGTAACTATTGATATAAATAGAAATGTAGATGACTGGTTTTAATCATTAAAGTATATCAAATTCAAAAATTTAATTAGCTTAATTGTCATGTCTCATTACAGTGGCGGATCCAGGGGGGGTGGCGGGGTGGCGATCGCCACCCTCTTCGGACTTAACTTCACGTTGTTTCCTAGTGATTTTTCATGGATATCTTACATTGTTGTCTAAACCGCCACCCCTTCCGCCTATTGGACTTCATTTTTCTCTTATCCGTCACTCCCTTCAAAAATTCCTGGATTCACCATTGTCTCATTATAATATTAACAAAAATGAAGAAGAAGACGAAGAAGATCAACAATAAGAAGTTGTTAAATACAAAAACTATTCTAATGAAATTTATTATTAATTTTATACACTTGATTTGATAATAACCGGATTTATGTTGAATGAAGTTTGAGTTGTACTTGCATTTGATCTTAAAATAGTTCGTTGATGATCACTAGCAGAAGATGATGTTATCATTGGAACACATTGTTCTTCAAGTCTTTCTGTTGAACTTTTTTTTCTTAAACTATTTCGAGCTGATTGTTGAGTTAAAGATGAATTCCATGGTGTATTATTTAAAAGATGAGCAATACAAACATCAGCTATAACATCAGATTCATCATCACATGTAGGAAGAGATGAATCACGTTTTTGTACTATAAATGTAACATTATCATTATCATCCATACCATCAAGAATTGTTTTTGTTGATAATAATGAAGCACGTTTTATTTGTATTGGTAATTTAGTTAAATCAATATTTCCATTTTCTACAATTTGTGATAAAATATTTGGATTATTTGGACTTATACTCATAGATAAACGTTTTAATTGTTTTTGTCTTTCAATTAATTGTGCATGTTTACGACGACGATGTTGAATAATAACAGGTAAAAGCATTAAAATACTTAATGCATACATTAATAGTACAAATAATGGTTTATATGATGGATGATATTCATGATGACGAAAGTTTATTTTATTATCTTTTAATAAACGTATATCTTTACATTGTATATCAATATCATTTAATGGAAGAATAAAATAAAAACAAATAATAAATAAATAAAATAATTCTCTTGATAGATCATATTGATTATAAATTTCAATTGAATTTTGTTTATATTGATATGTTGATGAATATAAACCAAATTTTATTTGTTGATGTTCGAATAAACGAAATGTAAGATAATAGGAATAATTTGTTGTTAAATTATAATATAATATAAATGTTTCATTTTTTCCATATTTAATATTCACTGTTAATACATGTATAGTGTTAGTTTCATTTCCAGATGTTAATAAGATTAGATATGAGGAAAGATAAATAATAGTTAAATAAAACATATAAGAAATTATCACTTGACCTATAATAATAAAAATTTTACTTTCATTTCTTTTACAGATTGTATTGTTTTTTTTATCTTCGCACTATTACACTATTCGGTAAAAAATCTTATGGAAAGAAAAAGGAAAATATCTATTTTACATAGATACATTGGTGAATCAGCTCTTCAGACACCATGGATGAGTAAAGCCTATTCTTAGTTTTACTCTCGTTTTTTTCCTTCTTTTCTCTTTTGCTTGTGATCTTTTCTTTTCTGCTCGGTCAGGCACAAATATTCTCCTACTTCCGCTTTTTTTCCTATTTCTTTAGTAGCGTTTGTCAATGTTAGAACTTTTAGAATGATAATTTCCAGTCGATTTGTATAAATTATGATAGAATTATTGATCGTATTAATTGAATTAAATTTTACAAATTTATTGATTTAAGTAAATTACATAATCAAAAGGACTATTTTTGGACTGATAAGAAAGAATAAAGTAAATATTTATTGTTATTACAAAATATATGCCATGTACACATTAATCATACATAATATCTAATATTGTGTTGAATAAGTTTCTTATTATATCAAGAAGTATATGAGAAAAAATTGCGTGTCAAACAAAAGAATGTCACAGAGTATAATTCATATTTTTCTTGCAAGTTAGAATATTACTTTTATAAGCAATATGAAAGGAACTCTTGAAGAAATATTATATTGCCGACAATGGATTTCTAGTCGATCATATATGTAGATATTAAATTCTATGTATACTGTCTCGAGAACATAACTTAATAAGGTAAATAATAGATGTTATCTTCGTTCATTACTAGCAATTAAAATATAAATAATGTTTTAATTATTTTTAAAGAAACAAATGCAATATAACGTTAACAATTTCTCTAATCACTTAACTCAGTCAAACATGGTTTACCATGAATGTTGAATTCTGTCAAGAGATGCTTGGGTTTTTGCAGAGTGACGAACATGTCAAAAAGAAGTTTCTCCTTAATGAGTTTTTGTTAATGCATCAGGCGTCATACTCTGTTTTTGAATTTTTAATGAAAAACTTGTCATAGAATCAATAAAAAAAAAACAATATTTTTATTTATGCTTCCAACATTTATTACTAAATAACGGAAATATATTTTTTTTTGCTAATAAAATTACTCTATTTGAAAAGATAGAATAATTCTTTGTCACAATTCATTGAAAAACAATATACGTTAATCATCGTCTGAAACTTTTAGCAATTTCACTCATCATATACGAAAGAAAATTCAATGTAGAACTTTAATTACTTAAAACTATGATACAATAAATATTGAACATTCACAATTACAAACAAACCTTCGAACACTGAAAAAAGTTATTTGAAGAGTTTAGTTTTGCTTAGTGAGTCGACCAATGTTTTTCTCAATTCTGTGACAATATAAATGTTCAATAAGAAGAAACTTCTCATAAATACTCAATCTATGTTAACTATAGTCTAGTGCCATCTTTTGTTTGTTGTGATTTCCATAACAAACGCCAATAATTACTGAAACTGTTAGCAAGATCGATATGGCCGGATGGAGAAAATTTCTCTCGACGTTACAATATGCGTTGATTATATCAAGAGGTTAATCATACTTCCTGTACTTAAGGAGAGAAATATCGATCAGACTTGCAACTGGTATCTGACAGATTGGTTTTCTAGTTGCCTTTTCGGTTGAGTTTTTACATGTTGTCTATTTCAAAATCCATCTTCGCATTGTATTTAGTAGATGACCAGTAAAAAAAAAATTTTCACGTCAGAGTAATAGTATTTCTTAACTTTTTCAAGACAAGTATGTAAAAGTTCAGCTGAATCCTACTTTCACGTACGTCACATAATGATCTAAAGCATTCAGCTTATCACTTTTTTGAAGAGCTCATATACTTTTTAGGTAAAATTGCCTGCTATGTGCAACTACATGAAAAATTTTCAAGCAGTTTTCCTTTGTTGGTTAGTTTTAGCGTATATGGGATGTTCACAAGGGCATCTCGATGAGAATAAAAATATCCCAAAATTGTTCATATTCATGGAATTCTGCAATCGAATTGTGACCGTTTTACAGAATTTCATGTTTAGCTTTAGGTGCATACCAAAAAATCAAATTATGGAATTTCAACCTGAAATTTTATCCATAGATAGATGTAATGATTCTAGAAATGTCATCAACGGTTCATCCGAAAAGAATGTTTCTCTCTTGAGATATTAAACTTTGAAGTAAACTTGATTTTTGCAGCATATCTGTAGCAAGGTATCATTTTTTTGGAAATTCAATATCTCGACAAAGAAAGTCTTTTCGGCTGAAGCTTCCAGGATACTCCTAGAACTGTCAGATCTATCAATCGACAGAATTTTACATCGAAATTTCGTTATTGAATTCTTCCGCAAGCATCTTAAGCTTGATCGAAAATTCAGTAAAATGGTCACGACGTGACTTCAGAGACCCAAAAGCACGAACAACTTTCAGGCTTTACTAGTCTAATCGATACCTCCTTGTGAATTTAGCATCAGCACCAACGGCAGACATCATTTCCCGTTAGTTACTTTCGCTACTAAAGTTAACAGTTGTACACGATTATGCGTATCTTTGATCAAATGTCATGAGATCCATATTCTTGCACAAACAATCAGTTTCTTTAAAAATGAAGATTTATTTCAGGATTGACATTCAACGTAGTCGTGTTAAAGATAAAAGTCGAACAGAATCTTCGACATCATATAAATAAAAAAGTAATTGCCAAGGAAATGGACATTTTTTAATATCAACATTCAGTTCTCGTCTATTTTTCGTTCGTTCATTGAAATAACTTATTTTTTGATTATCACAGTCAATCAAAAGTTCGATTTCAATTGTCGTTTGACCTTGCATATCATAAAAATTTTTATCCGATAGCGACACACCATTGCAACAACAAATGCAGTCATCGCTGAACCAACCGTAACCAGATTTTTCTAGATAAGATTGGGTTGTGGGTATAGACCTAGATTTTGAGATAATATTAAACGACATAACAAGTATCGGATTTTCCTTCTTCATAATAAATCGAATTTTATACTTGCCCGATGAATATTCCTGCATTCCACGCACAAATGCATAACTTCTCTTTAGTCCACAATGATATGCCAAATGACCATTCTCGGCGATAAATATATCACCAAAGAATTTCTCAAATCGTTCATCTTGTTCTAAATGTTGTTGCATAGTTGAAGAAACAAATATTTTAGCCACAACTAATTTTGTTGGATCTTCACTAATTGTCGTCAAAGGAGTAGCATTAATAACATCACGTTGAAGTTTTTCTAACATGTTTGTCCATTTATGAAGATCAATTTCAACAAAATTATCATCTATTCGAGTTTTTCGTAATTGTTCACTGAGATCATGCAGTCCTTTCGATATCCTGTCTAAAAATAAAGGCAATATTAACAAATTCATTAAATCACCTATTTTAACCGTTTTGTGAACCAAATAATATTTTAACTTGTTGTCGTGCTTCATTTGCTGTTTGTTGAATTTTTCTGATCGAGTCTCGTTCCCATTTATCGACTTCCTTGAGAAGAGGATCATAATTCTTTTCTTTGTTTTTCTCTTCCAGAATCATTTGATGTAGAATATCATGTTCAAGAACAATTTCATCTAATTGATGACTAAGAAGATTTCGATGTTCATTAACATGTTTTCGACAAAATATTTGTGAACAAACTTCACATTTGAAAATGCCCACACTCTTACACTCATCAGAAGTGCAAGGAGTTTTTGATGATGATGAAGACGTCATAAAAAACGAACTCTTTTACACACAAATTGTGAAGAAAAGTAGAAGAAAAAAGTATTAGTTCTTCTTTCCTTCTTTTCAATTAGATGTGACGATGGAATGTCAATAAAAAAAAATGAAAAAATTTCCGTCTGACTAAAATATGTGATGTAATTTATTTTTTTTCTTCCGATTACGGTATTTCAATTAAAATTGCTTCTTGGATATTCTTGGTTTTTTCCTTTGTTGAAGTCAACTTCAAACAATAACAATGCCATGATTAAAATAGATAGTCAGATGAAAGATAGAATTTTCTAGGAATGAGTTTTTCAATGTGGGACAAATATTTTTTTTTTTTCTTCACAAATTGAAAGACGATTTTTTACTCAGTGCAATGTAATGGGTGTTCACTATGATAAATATGTGTTTAAACTTCCATGAACTGTTAGAACAACGTTAGTAGGACTTATGTAGATATTATTTGTGCTATTAAGAATTGGACACTTCTATTAACATATATAAATTTGAACAAAACTCTTCTCAGTGAAGAAACTTTGTCTCTAAGATTTTACTAATCCAGAAAGAAACGAATGATCTGTTGAATAATTAGTTCACGATAGTTGATTTACAAAAAGCATGAGATTCAATTGAAAATATTTACCTCTAATTCTCAAACAAAATCAAATTCTTTCTTACATATATATCCACAGTTAGTAGAGAAACAATTTTCTCTTGGGAAAACAAGACATTTTTTTTTTGTGAAATATTTATGACAATACTTTTATCTTTTCGTTTTTTTCTGATTATAGACAGTGCTAGTGCTAATATGTTTTTACTGTTCAGTTAAGACAATGGATGACAAAGAGTGAAAATGGAAATAAATCAATGCATTTCTTACTTTTCTGACTGAATCGAACAATTAAATACTGATAATCAAATGTAAAGATTCAGTTTAGAACAACTTAATTTATTAAATAATTTCCCTTAACAAAATAAATATCTTTTAAATCCTATCTCATGTATAAAAATTACGATTTTGATTGATTCTTCCTACGTTATATGTCAAGTAGTGAAAGAAAAGTTTAACGACAACGTACTTTCTCTGAAATGTTAAGCAATTAGTACGAATCCAGAATAGTGATTTCTAATAGCCAATTGAGTTTTCTATCTAATGTCTACTACAGGAAGATTTTCTAGTTGAACTATAAGAGTAAGGTTTCTAAAATAAGGAAACATAGAAAACTTTGTTGGGTGGCTTTTCTTTTTTTTTGATCATATTGTTTTGTTTGATAAGAACATTTCGATTAATAATTATGTATTTCAAGTAATGCTCCGATTAGATTATCTAACATTTAAAGTTCAATGTGCACATCTTATATCTTACGATCACAAAAATATTTCAAATGTTTTGTAAAAGATATATACCGTCGAAGGAGTTATGAGAATTGCTCTTTTGTTAGATATTTATTCTAAAGAAATAGTTACTATTTTCAGAACAATTATTAATTTTTTTAAGCATGGTATCATTCTATATATTGTAAGTCGGATTCTCTCTCCAATTAATGCGACGTAAGTCTTGCGGTCCTCAAAATATTGATCTTAATATATAGATCAGCTGCACATTATTTCTTTATGTTTCTTATACTAAAATATGAATATCAGTAAACATGAATCCCTCGCATGTCCTAACCTTTATCTTTAGACGAGAAGTATTCCATTATTTGATTGAAACAAAACCTGTAACACCTTAATCAATCAGAGGTGTCCGATTCTCAAGGAGAGAAAAGTTCAGCTTCAAGTTAGACAACTATACTTTTGTGTTGTTACGAAAAGTCCTTGTTTTTTGTTTGAAGAAAATGTGCATAAAATGTAAGTGTATATAAAGAGTGTGCAATAAGTTCTGATCTTCTTCCAGTAATATTCTTTTCTTGTATGTTTCTTCAGTAGAATAGGTTGATATTTTCACTATATAGACGAGATATCTGTATACTTGAATTTCAGCTTTCCAACTCTTATAGACAGAGAGATACAAGTAATCTAAAATTAATTGGAATTTTTTCATTTATTTTCATATACGATACAAATGAAAATATTATAGTTATTCGATGAATTTCTCATAAGGAGTAACTTTAATTTTGATGCATTTCACTCATGGATTCTAATCAATTATCCATGCGATTATTAACAAAAAAAATTCAACGANCTAGCTTTTCGTAATTGTTCAGCCAGATCATGCAATTCTTTCGATATCATTTCTAAAATAAAAAAACAATATTAACAAATGAAAATTCATGAAATCCATCGTATTCACCTTTTTGTGAACCAATTAATTTTTCAATTTGTTGTCGTGCTTCATTTGCTGTTTGTTGAATTTTTTTGATAGATTCTTGTTCCCATTTGTCAATTTGTTTGAGAAGAGGATGATTATTGTTTTCTTTGTTTTTCTCGTCCAAAATCATTTGTTGTAGAGTATCATGTTCAAGAACAATTTCATCCAATTGATGACTAAGAAGATCTCGATGTTCATTAACATGTTTTCGACAAAATATTTGTGAACAACCTTCACATTTCAAAATTCCCACACTCTTACAATCATCAGAAGTGCAAGTAGTTTTGATGATGATAAAGACATCATAAAAACGAACTCTTTTACACACAAATTGTGAAGAAAAAAGTATTGTTTTTCTTTCCTTCTTTTCGATTAGATGTGACGATGGAATGTCAATAAAAGAAAAAGAAAAAAATGAAAAAAGTTTTGTCTGACTAAAATATGTGATGTAATTTCTTTTTTTCTTCCGACTGTCGGCGTTAAATTAACAATACTTATTTGACTTTGTTTGCGTTTTTCTTGGTTTCAGCAGCTTGAAATAATAACAATAATATATTTAACACGGTAAGTCAAATGAAAGATAGGATTTTTTTGAGAATAAATCTCTTGATGTGAAGATATTTTCTTTTTCCTCACCCATTGAAAGACAGTTTTTTTTTTTTTATTCAGTACAATGTAAGCGGAGTTAACTATTAAGTGCTCAAACTTCCACGAACTGTTAAAACAAGATTAGTAGGATTTAAATAGACGTTACTCATGCAATTACGAATTGGAAATTTCTATTGATGCATGTAAATTTTGAGAATATTTTAAAAGAGAAAACTTTATCTATTTGTTTTAAGTAAGCCAGAAAAAACATAATGAGCTATGAATATCCTGAAGGAAGTTCACGCTCTTATCTTATCGCCACTGGGATACTGCCCTTTTACAGTGTTTTTAAGTAAATGTCGTGGTCTTCTCAAAAATACCAGAAAAATTGATTTTCGAATTTCGATCTAAAGCTTTACATAGAAACAGATTTCAGCGAGAGCTGATTTTTGTGAATACTTCAGATCTTGTGGTTGTTCGTATTCACAGATTTAACTATGGTAATAAAGTGTGTTTTACGTCACTCAGATAAACCAGAAGATTTCACCATTCTGATTTCAGAATAGAAGTACATTAAGAAGCCTGAAATTCTCAATGAGGTCTATTTATATTTAAAGTTTCAAGTTGAAAATTCGAAAATCAGTTTTTCTGATGTTCCTGAAGAGGGACTACGACATGTATCACCATGAAAAGACCCATGTCGGGGACATCGATCGATATGAGATTCATTAGGTTCGGAGAGTTCTTTCATGGGCACTGTTGGGCTGATATTTTTTTCGTTACCATTTTTCATCACTTTTCAGAGGAGTTTTAACACCAATTGTACCAAAGTGTAGCCCCAAACACCATATATTCCTATAAAAATGATCATGTTCTTTAAGAACCGCATTGAAGGAAAAGCTTGAAAAGATAATAAAAATTTTCGGAAAACTTAGTACGAACGGAGGATGCTTGGGGCTACATTTTGGTACAGTTGACGTTGAGATTCCTCTGAAAATTGATGAAAAAAGGCAACGAAAAAAATATCAGCCCAAAACTACCCATAAAAGAACTCTTCGAGTCTAATAAATCTTATACTGATCGATGCCCTCGACATCGTTCTCGAGGTATTCGTCCAAGAGTTTTCCATTTTGATTTCTGACGTCAACAATAGTTTAACACAACTCAATTCATGAAATGGTTTTTCTTATAATAAACAAATGAAATATTATCGGTACTTGATAATACAAAATTACTCATTCAAGTGAGTTCATACCAATAAATAACATCGTGAACATCTTTGGAATCTCATCAAATCCAGAGTCTAGTAGGATAGAGTACAGTAACGATGGTCCAAATAACGTTTAGGGTAGCATTATCGTGTTGTTCATATTCTTAAGAATTTCGCAGAAAGGAAATTCGAAGACAACTCGTGACCTCTTTCTGACTAATAAGAAATCAATTGTTAAGTTAAAGCGAAATTCCATTTTAGTAAAAAATAGTTAGTATTGGACTGATGGGCAGTTTTCCACTCCTTGAAAACTTTGTTGAATGGTAATTCTTTTCATCATTATGTTTTGTTAGATAAGAATATTTAGATTACTAATGGTTTTTCAAGTAATTATCCGACAAGATGATCTAAGATTTAGAGTTTAATGTGCACATCTTGTATCTTATGAATACAAAAATATTTCAAATGTTTTGTAAAAGAAACATATTTTTGAAGGACTTAGTAGCATCACGTTTTTGTTAGATATCTTTATCGAACAATCAATTATTTCACCACAATATAGCAAATTAATTGATTAGTAGTTTTCGATGCTCAAATTTCTGTCTTTTTAGTACTAATGTTTTCGACAAAAAAAAAAAACATGTTTTTGTGTAGAGCAAATGTACATAAAATGTAAGTTGACATAACCAAGTAATATGCAGTGTGAATATATAGTTTGATCCCATGAAATATCACTTTTATCAGGAAAAGTTATTAAATAATACCTTTATTTTTTGTATCTATGTCACAGAGCAAAGTTTGTACATAAAGGAAATAAATGCTCCATTGATATACATGTATGAATTCTTGTATTTGGAAAAAATCTCTCATCTCTCAATGTGTCTTCTACATTGTCAATTTTTTACATATACATAACAATAATAATTTTCTGATGAAGATTCATTTTCTCATTTGATTGCTTAAAAATGACTTGAGTTTTCTCTAAAGACGAATATGTGAATAGAAAGAACGGTTCGTGTAATGGTGAAAGTAAAGCTATTCATCTCTCTACCATCAAAGATCCATGCTGGACAAAACAAATTGAGACATGTTACTGAAGTACGTTCTTCTTATCGTTGCAATAGAAATATTTCAAGATTTAAAAGAATAAGTTATAATACGCGATGATAAATAAATCATTTAGTTTTTGTCTGCTTACTCTGGCACTAGTATAATACATTATTACTTTAAAATAAACCATGAATAACATTATTTTTTGTCGAAGCACTAGGATTGATTTACATTTTCAGAGAATTACTTTTTATTCATTCAGATTCTATAAGTGAGAAACGAAACTTAAAAGTAAACTTATTACAGAGAGTTTAAGTGATGTGAAATAATATTGGTAGCACACATGTTCTCAACTTCTTTATAGTATTGTATAGTTATCCTTTACTGATTTTTTTTTATTATTCAGCTTTAAGTTTGTTTGTAGAAACATTTTTTTCGGCTGAAACTTTCAGGATATTCACAGACTAGCTAGATCTATCCATGAGCTAAATTTCAGGTCGAAATTCTGTGATTTGACTCTTCGATATATATACATATCTGCATCTCGATCGAAAATTAAATAAAATGGTAGTAAATCGACTCATGAGGCTAATGAATACCAATTGTTTTAGAATTTTGCTAGTCTTACCAAGAAATCCTTCTGAACTCACTATGAACTCAAACGGCGGATATCAATTCAGGTCGTTTCCATGTATTATTTATTTTCACTATTAAAGTCAAACGTTGTAAATAATTCTATGTATTTTTGATCAAATCTGATGAGATCCATATTCTTGCACAGTTTTCGTTCTTTCTGTAAATAAATCAGTTTCTTTAAAAACAAGTATTTATTGCATGATTGATGTTCAAAGTAATTTTTTTGAAGACAAAAGTCGAACAGAATCTTCAACATCGAATAAGTAAAAAAGTAATTGCCAAGGAAATGGACATTTTTTAATATCAACATTCAGTTCTCGTTTATTTTTCGTTCGTTCATTGAAATAACTTATTTTTTGATTATCACAGTCAATCAAAAGTTCGATTTCAAATATTGTTTCACCTTTCATATCATGACGAAGTTTATAGAATGACACGTCAGCACCGCCACAACAAATATGATCGTCGCTGAACCAACCGTAACCAGATTTTTCTAGATCGGATTGACTGTCAAGTCTGGACGTCGACTTTGAAATAATATTAAACGACGTAGAATATGATGAATCTTTCTTATTTATAACAAACCGAATTCGATGTCTGCCCGATGAATATTCCTGCCTTCCACACACAAATGCATCACTTCTCTCGGGTCCAGGATGATAAGCCAAAAGACCATTATCTGCAATACAAACATTGCCAATAAATTTTCCAAATCGTTCTTCTTCTTCTTCTAAATGCTGTTGCATAGTTGAAGAAACAAATATTTTAGCGACAAGTAATTTTGTTGGATCTTCACTAATTGTCATCGAAGGAGTAGCATTAGTAACATCACGTTGAAGTTTTTCTAACATGTTTGTCCATTTATGAAGATCAGTTTCAACAAAATCATCATCTATTCTAGCTTTTCGTAATTGTTCAGCCAGATCATGCAATTCTTTCGATATCATTTCTAAAATAAAAAAACAATATTAACAAATGAAAATTCATGAAATCCATCGTATTCACCTTTTTGTGAACCAATTAATTTTTCAATTTGTTGTCGTGCTTCATTTGCTGTTTGTTGAATTTTTTTGATAGATTCTTGTTCCCATTTGTCAATTTGTTTGAGAAGAGGATGATTATTGTTTTCTTTGTTTTTCTCGTCCAAAATCATTTGTTGTAGAGTATCATGTTCAAGAACAATTTCATCCAATTGATGACTAAGAAGATCTCGATGTTNATATTTATTTATTTATGCTTTTTTAATATTTATTAATCTTAATATTTATTTTAAAATTTAATTCCATAATATTTTCTTTCTTTGATTAAATATGTGATTCTTTTTTCGATATTTTTATGATCAAAAAAAAAAAAAAAACAAAAACCCCGAGGAAGCTATTGTGATAAGTTTACTAATAAATTTTTTTGTATTCGTCTATTTTTAATATAATCTATCCAGTGAAATTTTTTATTTCTATGTATAAGCAAGAATAAATTGTTTTGAATTTTTCTAAAGATTTATTTTTATATTTTTAGATTGAAAAAAACAAAAACAAACTATGGCTACTCGTTGTATACAAACAACAGTACGTAATGTACAAACCTTATGGATGATAAATAGTCGTCGTCAATTTCAAACATCAGTTTTACGTTTATCTGCTGATGTACTTCATGTTAAAGATGATGGAGATTTTCAAAAACAAGTTCTTGATAGTAAAAAACCATTTATTGTTGATTTTCATGCAACTTGGTAAAAATAAAATCTTAAATTAGAACATAAAGTTTGAAAAATATGTTTTAGGTGTGGACCATGCAAAATCTTAGGTAAACATTTTTTTTTCTTCATTCTTTTGTTTGTATTTTATATGATCAATTTAATAGAACCTCGTCTTGAAAAAGTTCTTACAAATCATAATAAAAAAGCACAAAATACATCTGCTGATCAACAAGTTAAATTAGCTAAAGTTGATATAGATAATTTGGGTGAATTAAGTAGTAAATTTAATGTACAAGCAGTACCAACGGGTAAGTCATCGATATGTCCAATCGTGATGGAATTGCGCTTTCTTTTTCATTTTATATTTTCGAGTATTCCCAAGGAATGAAGTTAGTTAACACTATATTTTGTCCATATCAAATACTCTTACTACTAAAACGCTACCTTTAATTCTGTTAATGAAAATAATTCGGAACCGCCATAAACCGAAAAACGAGATTTTTAATTTTATTGCGCAAATGTAATTTGAATCACTCGATTACGATTCCGGCACGTTCATTCTTGAAGTCACTTTATATGACTGTGAGAAACTAATTTGCAGTTAGAGTCGCAAAAATTGACTCCTCAAGGCTCGCTCTATAGCGCACTTATTCGTAGAATTCGAAATGTGTTAGAAGATATTTTCATGATCGAATCACGCACGACAATAGACTAATTTTTTAATATATATAAATCTCTGAAGAGATGATAAAACCTAAATCTCTGATCACATTGAAAGAGTTCATTTATGTGAAATATTGATTTTGAGTGATAACTCTTTAACACCATGTTTTCATCGGTTAAAACATGTTTCGGAAAAATTAAAAATACTTATCCAGAATCTACGTTGAAAGTACTTTTTAATAATAGGTTCAAAAATATATATATATCATGTTTTGCTTGTCAATTGTAGTGCTATGTAAAGATATGTTCGTCAATCAAAAGCAAAACATAATGAAATTTCTTTTGAATATTTAGTTAAGAAGAGTTTTCAACGTGAACTCTAAATAGATATTTTTAGAACATGTTTTAATCGTTTGAAAACAGAGGCGACATTCTTTCAGAAACTTTTGCGCCACTCGTCAGTTAGAAATCGTGCACAGATGTCTAGTTCCATGTTGATGTTATTTAAAAAGGAAGCAGATTTTTTCAAGTGGATACTAACAATTTCTATTTGAATTGGAAGTAGAAAAACATCCGTCAGGAGAGTTCATTGTTAAGAATACAGACATGAGTTAATCCATCAAGTCATCATCTAAAGATAGTGACTATTGTTGAACTGTCTCAGTCATTGACTTTGATACGAAAACAAATCAATATAAACCGTCATTGTTGCCGAAAATAACTTACTAAAGATAGTTGCTATCGCCGATTTATACATGTATATATATATATATATCAATTTGAATCTTTAACCTTTCGGAGTTGATTGTAACATAGTTTGTTACAAATAATTAGTTTATTAGAAAAGAATGATCTTTATAGACGATGACAATAAGAAGGATTGAATTGAAATATAATAATGTTGAACTTAAGCATATTTAAAATATTTTTATTTTTTTTGTTTTATTTTAGTTTTGGCTATTAAAAATGGAAGAGAGATAAGTCGCTTTACAGGTGTTGTCGATGAAAATAGAATTCAAAAAATGATTGATCAACTTATTCGATGAACAAAAAAAAAATATCTTTTTTCTCTTGTTTCATTTTATTATAATCATTAGTAGTTTCTTTGATTACAATCGATGATTTGAAATCGTTGGATATAGTGTCGGTTCTTGATTTGGTGGCAAATAATTTATATTGGTAACAGCAGGCATTGATGGTTGATATGGATTAGGAGAAATTATATAAGGTTGATGTCCATAACGCATTGCTGGCGGTGCTGGTTGTTGATAAACAGGAGCCATAACAGCATCAGATGCTGTATGCATTTGACGTCGAGTAACTCGTGATGCTCGTGAAGCAACGACAGCATATACAATAAGATATATAAAGCATGTAATTGCCATAAGAACACCAGCAGCTAACTGAGCTTTAATTAATGCTAAACGAGTTTTTCCACAACTTTCTGAATGATCATCAAAAAAACAACCAAATGATAAATCTGCATTATTCGGCCAAAATAATCTTTCACATATTCCTGAAGTAAAAAAGCAATAATTTGGTCGTCGAATGAAAGCAATATTAATGCCAATGAGAGCAATAGCAAAAATCAATGAAATGAAATTTTGTACAACAGCATGTGTAGCACAACTTCGTCGACGACAACAACATACTAAAATATAGAAAATAATAAAATAAATCTATAATTCACACCTAACATATACCAGCAGCAAACATTGAAATCCATAAAATAGTAAATGGAACAGATGCCCAAAATCCAACAAATAAATTTGTTAAACGAATATTATATACAATATGTCCAATTTCAAGACCAATTATACTAAATGTAGTTAACATTTGAATTATAGCTATTAAAGCTACAATTGATAAAGGAAATCTATCATTGAAACGCTGTTCATATGCATAATATTCTCTTGAATATCGTTGAGACATTGTCAAAGTTTATCAATCGAGAACGTTGAATAATGAGAAAAAAAGAATGAATGCATTGACTTATTCTCATATCAATTTTTTGTGACACACGATCTCTATCTGTAAAATGTAGGCGATGCATATGTAGATTTAATTTCAATGTCAATTTGATCAATGCTTGAAAGAGGAAAAAAACATGGTAAAAATTTTCAGTTGTATTAAAAAAAAACACACGGAGCATTATGACGATTCAGGAGCCCATGGAACTGATAAGAAAAAGAATTTTATCAGTATCATGTTTTCTTTTTTTTTTTCCTTGAATACATTTGCCTATGTGATTTCGAAATACACAAAAAATGAAAATTATTCATTTGATCACCTATTGAATACATCAAATATATATATTTCATTGTGTTTTAAAGTATTAAGATATATTTTTTTGATGACATGCTTGATAGCTCACATGTATTATCGATTCGATAGTAGATGAGTCTTTTATCATAAGCAAAGACAAAATACTATTCGAAGCTGTTTGTTTACTTAAGTAGCTTGCTAATAAAGTCAAAAGCGCATGGTCCGTTAATAGCAAAAATAGAATAGAAATCATATTGACAGTAAAGGATACCTATCAATGCAGACTATTTAAATTAGAGGAAATAGGTAATGTGGTTGTCTACAAAAACAAAATAAAAAAGGACGAAACTTAAAAAAATTTTTGTATAACCATATTGAATCATATTGATGATTTACTGTTACTATTAATCTTTTGCCATATGTGAATAATTTACATAGATAAATAGTACCAAATAGTTTGCTTTTAAAAAGAAAAAATAAATATTATAAAAACTCATATTGTCATTCAGAAAAAAAAAACGGAAATAGTAGATTACGATTTTATTTGTTAAGTAAATAGTTCTTATATCTTTTCAAAAGATAAAAATAAATATTATTTGCGTCTATATCATCTTTATGTACACTTTGACTGAACGCGAAATTCAACAATATCAATTCATTGAAAAAAATATTTTCTTTAAATTGGAAGCTTACATCATTAGCGCAATTTTCTCTGTCTAAATTGTTAAATTTAGAAATCAAAGATAATAACAACTGTTTGATACTGAGTTCGAATATTGAATATCTACTTTCTAAACTTTAATTTATTTTTCTATTAGTTGGAAATTATACACTAACACCTAAAACCGAACTAGATTAATTCTATTTTTTTCAAGTGATTATTAATAATTTCTATTTGAATTGTTAGTAGAAGAACATCTGTAAGAAAAAACCTATTATTACCAATAGAGATATAAATCAATTCATATAATTATAGACTGAAACTATTGACCACTTTTGAACTGTCTCCATCATCAACATTGATAAGAAAATGAACCAATACAAATCGTCATTGATATCGAAAGTAACTTACTAAAGATACTTTCTACCATCAATTTATATATCAACCTACATCTTTAACCTTTCAGAGTCGATTGTAGGAGAGTTTTCTTTTTTTTAAATTAATTAGTTTATTAGTATAAAATGGTTTTTATAAGTGATGATAATAAGAATAATTGCACTTGAATGAAATACAGTTGAACTTAAGCACATATTAAATTCTTTTATCTTGTTTTTTTTTTGTTTGTTTTAGTTTTGCCGATTGAAAATGGCAAAGAGAGAAGTTGATTTACAGGTGTTATCGATGAATAAAAACAAAAATTTAGAATCTTTTAATATATTGTCAGTTCTTCAAGGTTCATTGTAAGCTGATCAGCTCATTATGCTCGGCAAACAACAACGCTACATAAAATAAAATATATAAAGCATATAATTGTCATAATAATACCAGCAGCTAATTGAGTTGGAATCAATACTAAACGATTATCTCCACATATATATTATTTATTCAACATATCTTTTTACATATTCCTCATATTAAGAAAAAGCAGTGATTTGTTAAATAAATATCATAAAGAATATGTTCAATTTTAAGAGTAACACAATACTAAATATAATTAACATTTTCATAATAGCTAATACAACTACAATTCAAAAAGAAACTCTTTTCTTGAAATATTTTTCTTCTATTTAATATTCTCGTGAAGCTCGTTATAACATATTGTAAGAATTTATCAATCAAGGTCAAATACATAAAAAAAAAACGGAATCACAGCATTCATCTATCTTCATGTCGTGTTTTTTGGCATATGAATTCCATCAGTAAAGTATAGACTATGCATATGTAAAACTACTTTCTATGCCAATTTAACAGACACGAAACATTATCAATATTATGTTTTCTTTTTTCCTTTTTTTTTCTTGAATATTTTTACATATATCACTTAAACATTTGTAAAAATAAAGATTACTCATTTTGTCACATATTGAATTTTTCAAGTACATGTTTTCCGTCATTTTTATGAATGATTCAGAATAGTTTTTGATGTCATGCCTGATAGCTCACATGAGACTGTCGATGTGACAGTAGATGATTGGTTTTCATAAAGAAAAAGAAAATGACCTTAGAAGCTGCTTGTTTATTTTTGTTACTCATCAATCAAACTAAAAAATTTAATCCGTTGATAATAAAGATGAATAGAAACAATATTGACGCCTAAGAATGGCCAACATTGACGTCCATGCAAATCGCAAGAAAAAGGTGAGATAGTTGCGTATAATAAGAAAAAAAAGTAAACGTTCGAAATAGAACACATTTTATACAGCCTTGTTGAATCATTTTGATGATTTATTGTTATTATTATTATTTTTCTCAGCGTGAATAATTTATATAAATAAATCTACCAACTAGTTTGTTTAAAAAAAATAAATATTCTAAAAATATTTATTTCTACAAATGTCGTCTACTGAACAATCACATCCTCATTCAAAAAAACTAAATAGTAGGTGATGATTTTGTTTATTTTATTTATTAAGTAAATAATTCTTAATTCTTCTAAGAAGATAAAAACAAATGTCGTTTGCATTTACGTCATCTTCATATACGTAATCATAGAAGATCTGCCTTAGATATTCCAAATATACACACAAATGTATCGAATGACTCTGAAGGAAATCAATCGTCTAAAAGTTTGAGTGAACAAGAAATTCAACAACGTCATCTTATTCAACAATATATTTTTTCTAAACTCGAAGCTTATGCTAATAAGCCTCGTATTTGGCAGTTAACACATTCATCACATATAAAAGAACGTCTTCTTGATAAATCACGAAATATATCAAATCTCTATTCTTTACCAAATGATTTTGTACGTGAATCGATAAATCAATTATTTAGTAGTGTTGATAAATATGTTTTACAATTACGTCGACTTGTTCATCCCGCATCATGTGAATCCGTCGAGTTAAATGTTCTATTTCAGAAAACAGGAGAACCCAATAATCAATGGCATTCATTACAATTAGAACGTGCAAAACAAATACTTCCAAATATTAGCAATGAAGAATTTACAGAAAATGAACTTTTACAAAAATATTATATTCATATTATTGAAACATTAACACCAAAACCTGATACAGCTAGTTCAAATTGTATTTCACAACTTCGTGAACACCCATTTGATTTAAATCATGTATATGAACAAGCAGAAAATAAAGGAAAAGAATGTTTAGCACAAATGTTAGAAAAATATCGTGCACGTTTAAAACCTGATCTTGAATTAATTCAAGAAATGATTAATCTTGGTAACTATAAAAATAAGAAATTTAAATCAATCTAATACATATTTTTTCTTTAAGGCCTTGAACAAATGAAAACTAGACCAGCAACAGAAGATTTTGAAGGTGCAACAAATTTTCTAACTAAAGCTTCTATGTTTCATAAAACAAAACAAGCATATGAAAGTGATTTACATAATATGGGTGATGATTTTATGTTATTACGTTTTGGTAAAGTATTTGGAGAAAATGCATTACCAACAACCGCACGTTCAAATAAGCAATTCATATATCTTGTTCATTTATTTATTAAATCCATTTTTCATCTTATTCAGATGATGCGAATAACATCTGATAATAGTGAAGAAATTCTATCAATTATAAATACTGTTATTGGAAAAATTTTTTCAGCAAAAGAAAATTCAGCAATTATTAAAGTAAATAAGGACGATCTTTTTTCACCAAAATTAAATATTGATCAATGGACATGGTTAGTAGAAAAATGGTGTGATTGTTTACGAACGCTTCCTATTTTACTTACAGAAGTTGGTGCATTTACTCGTTTATTACGTACAACAATTGGTATTGGTATTGCACGTTTATTTAATTTTGCTGAAACAATTGTTGCTAATAATCAAATATTAGATTTAGCTGTTATGAATGAACAATTGTTTCATGCACTTCAAACTGGTTTTTATTTTGGTGTTGCATATGCTATTGTCGATTGTATGCAAGATGAAATTCAAAATCCAGATAAAATTTCTCCGCAACATTTAGCTGCACTTAAGATAGAGGCAAATGAAAATGGCAGATTATTAACACCAATTGAAGCACTAGATAAATGGATTTTGATTATGGAAGAATTATTAAGTGGAGGAGAATTTAATCGAAAAGAAATACCAAAAACACCATTGACACCATTATTATTAGAAACATTTGATAGTCTTATTACATTAACGAAAAGTATTAATGCAACATGTTCAGCTTTTAATGAACTGGCTCTTTTATTAAGATCACAACGAATGGACAAAAAAACAATGGGAAATTTTTATACTGATGAAGAACTTTTCTTAGGTAATATTTTTTTTTTGATAGAGAACTAAAACTTTATTCTTGTTCTTTTTTCGAAACCTATGTTTGCCATTATAAAGAAAGGAAGTTATTCATGAAAATTGTCGATTTAGTAGTTAATGTTCAATATAGATGGTATATATTTATATGTACAATAAAGTTCGTTGTTGTCCATGTCTATAATATTGATGTCATGTATGCTTTTTCTGATAAAGCTACAACTAAGAATATAAATTTAACCTTTGTCTTCTAAGAAGTTTGACAATATGAATACAATTCACCAATATGATAAAACTTATCCAACCAAATATTGAATATATACAGATGAATTTGAACCGTTCTGTATAGAAGAATTCTATGTCATACTATATTGAGTTAACTAGTGAGATGGAGAGAAAATAATGATCATTTCCTAAAATATAAAGCATTTACTGTCTATTCATTAGACAAATGTACTACCCATTAACACTTTCGTCTATGTCTGTCGAGAAAATCATTTTTTTCCAAATTCTAAAACATATCTTTTTATTGATGAATAAATAATACTTGAAATTATTCTTCTAGGTGCTATGCTCAAATCTCATTTCACATATACATGTACAACTTATTTGGGTAATATTAAATCTGCTCGTGAAGAAAGTGAACGTCTATGGATAATGCCATTTTTGGGTCAATTAACAGATGATTGTAGAGATTTTTATGATGATGTTCAATCAAATTCTGTTACTTCATTTACACATTATGCATCATTTATTGGACGTCAACAATCATCACAGAAACATTTACTTAATCCATTTTATGCATTTTTATATCTTTGTTCTGATATATATGCATCATCTGGTCGTGATATTCAAACTGGTGCTTTTATTGGTCGTCGTATAGCACGTACATTAAGATCAATCGAATTAAGTTCAGGTCAATCAGCATTACGTGAATTTCTTTATTTATTTTGTTATGATAATTTACCATTACATAATTATTTTTGGATAAATCTTCGTAGTCATTTTTCTAATGTAAGTGATCCGGAAAAATCTTTTTTTCGAATAATTAATAAAGCAAGTATAAAATATGCACGAACAAATCGTAAATTAGAAACATATATTTGTGATCATTTAAAACAAATTGAAGATGCTTTACATATTCATCCATTTAATAAAAATAAAAAATCATTATCAGTTATTGATCGAGATGAACAATTATTAATCTCAGCTATGAATTATAGTGTAAAAGCGGGTGGTAAACGTTTAAGACCATTATTAATGATGATGGTTTGTGATTTGTACAATCTAGAATCGAAAAATATGATACCATTAACTTGTGGAATAGAATATTTACATACATCATCACTTATACTTGATGATCTTCCAGCTCAAGATAATAGTGATTTAAGACGTGGTCGACCAACATTACATAAAACAGTTATAGATAATGATATACCTGAAAATTTATGTGAAGGTCGAGCACAATTAGCAGCTGTTGATTTAATTGCTGTTAGTATGAGTTTAATTAATCATGATCTTGTTAAAAATGGATTTTCACCTGAACGTGTTAATCAAGTTGTTAGTGAAATATCTTTATCAATGCATGATTTATGTATTGGACAAATGATGGATTTACGTGCAGCACATATGGGTATGGAAGAAGGAAATGAACTACTTGAAGAACTTGATCATATTGCATGGTTCAAAACAGGCAAAGCAATTGAAGTTGTACTTATTACACCAGCTATTTTAGCTATGCCATCAACATCGTCATCATCATCATCATCATCATCGTCAGTAAATATTCAATCAATTGACTTGAATAAAATTCGTGAATTAGGTCGTTTAATGGGAATATTATTTCAAATGCGTGATGATTTATTAGATGTTGAAGGAGAAAATATTGGTAAACCAGCAGCACTTGATGTAAAAAATAATACAGTAACTTATGTATCAATATTAGGTGTTGAAGGTACTCGACAACGTTTAAAAGAATTTCGTCAACAAACATTAAGATTAGTTAATGAATGTTGGCCATCAAGTGCTGGAACAATTATAGATGTTGTTAATTATATCGTTGATAGAAAAAATTAAGATAAATAATAGCTGCTCTCGCTCTCGAAATAGTTCATCTTAAATTTTTGTTTTCAACTGTTAATTCACCACCACGAATTGTCTTTTCTTAGAGTGATTACATATTATTCACCAATACTCTGCGCATTTTTTTGTATATATATTCTAATAACTCTGATTCTCTTCAAGTGGTAATGTCATGTGCACTTGTGTTGCAGCGTGTATAAATTTTTTCAACCTTTCACTTGTTTTTTCGAAAATTTGATAATAAAGCTGTTTTTTTCTTTGCATATCAAGTCATATTATTGAAACAGTATGAAATCAATCTTTGTCATTGTGATTTATTACATATTTGTTATGTAGAATTTGTAGTGCTGTGAAATTTTACGTCCATCGATAGATACAAAGACAAAGAAAACTTATAGAAACCAATGGTGAAGAAAAAAACTTTCAGCACAATTTCTATGAGATTAAAATATTAAACATGATGGCGCTATTATAACTATTATGAGGAACTCAACCGTGACAACACTGTATGGTATTCGTAATATTGATACTAGACTTGACATAGCCAGGTAGTCATAAAAGACAGTTTTGGCATACTCTTGAAGTACAGAATTTTCGAATTCTCTCCGTGAGGGAAATTTCATCATCTACATGAAAGACAGCTAAACCGTTGCAGACATATCAAAATCTCTCTCAGTCTAATATTTCGCTATATGGTAACGACTGGTTTTGTCAGCGTTGATGGACAGCTCAAACTTTCATGTATCATCAATTGATATGCATCATGGAAAATACTCCAAAATTGCTTTGATGATTCACAAGATCAGATAGCATACTCGACTCATATATGGCACAAGCTCAATAAAATAACCATGTCACAAAGAATCTAGTATACGTGCCTGAAAAGCAATATGAAATTAATGAAACAGCAAGCAAAATAACACAAACATTGCTTGCTCAATTCAGAGCAGCTGTTATGAGCAGACATGCAGCAATATGTGCGAGATAATAATGTCAATTTTTGTCCTAGAAATGGTTCCTTGATAGAGAAAATCAACTTATCTTTTGTTACTTCATGTTACTACCTTTTGATTCGAAAACAACTGCATGTCTAATCGCATTGCATAAAAAAGATGCTCAACATGTAGAAGTTTGTTGCGTCATTATGAGTTGTGAATAGGATAGTCGAAATACGATCTAATATGATAAATCACTCATAAAATAACCATTGTGTGAAAAAATTATTACGATTGAATCAAAAACGGGGTAGAAAATAAGTGAGAACGTGGCCAACGGTCAATGATACTGTATTTTGTAACCGATACAGAGGTCTCACTATCATCGATTATTCTTTATATGTCGTTTATTGTCTATCATAACGCCGACAAGTAATACTCAACATGGACTGATTTTCGAGTTTTCAAAAATGCTGTTTTATCTTAGTACTTCTAATTAGATTACTTACTTTTATAAGTATAAACATGGAACTGCACAGTTAATAATATCAATAATTGATTTTATTGTTGAATTAAAGGACAAGTGGCGATAAGGCCATTTTCTCGCCCAAAAACTTTCTCAAAACGAATTACATATTCGGAATCAGCATTAAATTCTGAGTAAAATGAGGTACTTTTTGCTGTCGAAAAACGACTTTCATTTTTCACGGTTCATTGGGCACCTGTAGGGGATCTCAGGACTATCGAAAATTTTTTTTTCAGAATTTTAGTGAATTTAACATCATCTGATGCGAAATTTAATGCTGATTTCGAATTTCAAATTGAAATTTTAAAAAAATAGACTTTTGGTAGAAAAAATTTGATTTACTGTCGAATGCTAGGGAGGGCCTACTTCCAGTTACCGTGCACAAGTGACCTAGTGACACCATTCGAATGTCTGAAATATATTTAGTAATGTGTGAGATTGCTTTCCCAATCAGAAACAAAAACAAAAAGGTGTCTGAAGTCGAGTTTTGGTGAGTTTAGATCCAAATACTCAAAAAACCCGGTTTTTGGGCCCCTTAGCTCCATATCGGAGGGTAAGAAAATCTCCAACCAATGAGTGACATTTATAGATTGATGCAGTTTTTCACGGTCTTTCCGAATATGACCTCAGAAACAAGAAAAAAATGAAGAACATGGTCAAACCGCGCAAATACTGGAATCAGAGCAAAAAAGCCCAAAAATGCGCCGGTATTTGCATATTATGACCAATAAAAATTGACTTCTGAGTAAAATGCATATGATATTTCGAATCAGCACTCAAAACTACATCTAGTGACCTAGATTCTGTGAAAAATTATTTTTTAATAAAATTTGATCCCTACTCCCCCTCAGCTATTTTCTGCTGTAATTTTGCCTGTACCCCCTCTCAGCCGAATTTTGATGAGAATTTTGTTTTTGACAGAATCCATGTTACTAGATGTAGTGTTGAGTGCTGATTCGAAATATCATATGCATTTTACTCAGAAGTCAATTTTTTTTGGTCATAATATGCAAATACCGGCGCATTTTTGGGCTTTTTTGCTCTGATTCCAGTATTTGCGTGGTTTGACCATGTTCTTCATTTTTTTTCTTGTTTCTGAGGTCATATTCGGAAAGACCGTGAAATAATAAGACGAATCTTTATAAAATTCAAAATTCGAAATCAACGTTAAAATACATTTGTTAGCGTATATAAATAACTTTCAACTTTAGGAAAAACAAGAACATCAACTGATGACACTTCAAATTGAGCAGATACGAACGAAATTTTTGTTAAAATGTCGTGAAAGTTTCAGAATAACTATAATATTTTTTATTCTCAGAAGTTACCGATAGTCTACTTAGATTATTTAGAACTTAATGTTCATAAAGCCGTCTGCTTACGCATTGGAAAATGTTCTCGTAGAGTATTGATTAAATTATAGATATCAGATAGTTTATTATGCTTTTTATTCTGCATAATCTCAATCAAATGATCTGCATATTCATATTGAAGTCATCTCAAGTCATTGACCAATAGTAAGTTCAAACGACTTGAGTTGTTATTTTCATAGAGATAAGCTTCTTCCACTCTCATTCGCACTAAACCAATAAAAATTTGATCATCTTGAGGGTGTGAGATATGGGAGGGTATGAGTTCAACTGAGTGAAAGACCCACACTCAAGCCCATAAATCAAGTAATAATACCACTGTCTAAAAAATGATCATTAAACATCCTGTTAATAGAAAAATGAGAATTGACATCAAGGGTAAAACCATTTCAAAATGAACTCTACTCAATGTTTGTTCAATATTTTTGCAATTAATAGACTGAATTGTTTAGTTACAGCTTTTATATATGTAAATTAACTTATATGAAATAAAATTCAATTTAGCATTGAAAGAAACTATAATAACATCATGTAAAGCTTTCAGAATGTTGAAGAACTATTGACTCTCTTTTGCTGTTGAGATTCTCGTACTTATCTGTATTTATTATTTGAATCACTTTAAATATTTTATCTTCACCTTAAAAACTAAACTCTATCATAGAAAAAGATCATAAAAACAACTTTGTTGGCAAATAGTTTGCTTTCAATGTGTTACAAGGAAACAATAGTTTTATCAATCATCTATGAGAAAACAAAGAATGAAGTGTGCTGGCAAATTTGATAAAAATTCAATTGAGTTTGATATAAATGTGTCCTTCACCCACCTGTCATGTCAATTGAGAACATTGATTTGCAAATAGATGAAAATGTCACCTCGCAATCTGTTGCATAAAACGTTTCAGTTAGGACTCTTGTTGACGAGAATAGGAAATGGATTGTTTCTGTTCGATATCCAGATCTATGATCTCAGTGCTTGAATCCGTGGATTTACGGCTGGCAGAGTCCGAAAAATGGTAAGAACTTGGAAGCGGAAGTTGGATAAATCTGATCGCTGAATTCAATCAAAGGATTCCTGTTTTCAAATGCTTACCATTATTCGGAGTTTTTCGACTGTACCTCATTCACCTGAATAGAATTACAAAGTGTTGATTCTTCTGGCATATCAATAAGCGAGAAAAATCAATTTGCTTTCTTTTTCTTTTTTTTCGCTTTTTTAGACTAGATATCAAATGGAGAAGAATGCTAGTAACGAAACTGATTTCACTTCAGTCGAATTACTGAAACATATCACTCAAGAGACGTATCGTATTGGTTTAACTATCATTTTCGTATTAGGTGTCATTGGACATTTGTTCAATTTGCGATTGTTTACTCGCCCAACAATGATAAAAAGTTCATGTTGTCAGTATTTTCTCGCTTCATCTTATGTTTGTCTCATTCGGCTCTTCTTGGGTGTATTTGTACGCATGCTCTATTTGGGTTATCAAGTTAATACAGGAGATTCAACTATCGAATGGTGGTGTAAAATTCGCGTTGCGATTGTTTATACGTTGTACTTAGTTTCATCCGCTCTGAACACTGTGGCTTCATTGGATCGCTACGCATCAAGTTGTCGTCAGAGTCGATATCGACGCTTTTGTGAGCCAATAGTGGCTCATCGTATGATTGCTATTGTGATTGTGGCTGCATGTATAATAAATTCCCATATGCTATTCAACGTAGTTATTGTCAATGGAGATTGCTGGACAAAGCCTGGATGGTATCGAATAGCCTATGATATATTCTTTCTAGTCGTGTACAGTTTCTGTTGCCCACTTTTGAGTGGAATTTTTGGTTTATTGACTATCAAGAATCTACGTCAATGTCATTTGCCACGTTTATATCAAGCCAAGATGAAAGACTTTCAAGTCATGACATTTGCTCATACAATATGTTTTATTCTTCTCACTACACCATTTGCTGTTCACAAACTGTACTGGGCTGTGATAGGTCACCATCCAGTAAGCTCAATGCAAGGCCAATGGGAAGGTCTGAGCATGTGCATCGTTCGGGTTGTATGGTTCACTAATGATGGTGCTGGATTCTATATTTATTCACTTTCATCAGCAAGATTTCGTAAGGAACTTCTTGCATCGCTTCCAAGATTTCTGTTTCATCGATTGAAACCAGAACATCGATATTCATCATGGTTCATCACTGTCAACCAAAAACCAAGCGAATGTTTTGATAAATCTTAACTTATATACTGTGCAGCAAACATCTACTTAGGACATACCGAAAATAGTAGTGCAAACACTATAATATTTTAAAGAGAACTCAAGAAAAATGTCCTTCAATGCAGGTTGAATCAAAAATAACATAGCACAAGTTTTTTCTTTGATTTCATCTCTATACATGAATAATAAAATCGCTCATTTATGTCACATATATTAGGTAGTGGTAATCTCTGTATAGAGTCTCTGTACCCAATAGTTTGTTTCAAAAGCGTACTGATATACCTTGTATACTCTTTTGTGAGTGTAGAAAAACTGATCTCTTCTTGTCGAATTCTTTTTTTGCTTTTTGTTTGATCGGATCGATTCGCAGAATAACTCGGCATACATTATTCTTTTTTTGAATTCGTGTTAGATAATAGAATGCAAAAAATAACACAAATATGGTTTATTACATTTGTATTGATTCTGTACATTCTAATGAATGATATAAAAAAAAAGACAGACATCTTGTTGGAAGTCGTTTTCGTTATCAAGTTATGGAAATATATTNTAAGATATGTTTTTACGTATTTCTGATGTACAAAGAATATTGATTTGTTAAACGAATATTGTATAGAATATGTCCAATGTCAAGACTCACAACACTAGATACAGTTAACATTTGAATAATAGCTAATACAGCTACAATTGATAAAGAAAATCTATTGTTGAAACATTGTTCTTGTGTATAATATTCTCTTAAATGTGAATAGGATATTGTCAGAGTTTATCAATCGAGTGCGTCGAATAAAGAAAAAAACAAGAGAATGACGACATTGAATTATTTTCATATCTACTTTTTTGTGACATACAATTTGTATCTGTACAATGTAGGTGATGTAACTGGTAGGAGTTTTTCGTTATTGTTACTAGAAGTGTTCTAAACCGGTAGAGCGACATGAATGATTGTTCATCTTCTGATTGTTTAGCAGTCAGATTAAGCCATCGATTTGTCATGTCTACCTCTAACTCACTGCAGTAGAGATCTTAAGCCTCCGACTATACTACTAGAGCTCTTTTCACGATTTTATTTCCATAAGGTGTATCACTCTTAATATCTGTCGATAAACAGAAAAGTTCATATGCTAATAAACCTTGTCTTTGGCAGTTAACACATTCATCACATACAAAAGAATGTCTTCTTAATAAATCACGAAATATATCAAATCTCTATTCTGTACCATATGATTTTGTACGTGAATCCATAAATCAATTATTTATTAGTGTTGATAAATATGTTTTACAATTACATCGACTCATTCAATCTACATCATGTGAATCAGTTGACTTAAATGTTCTATTTCAAAAAATAAGAAAGCCTAATAATCAATGGCGTTCATTACAATTAGAACGTGCAAAACAAATACTCCAAAATATTAACAATGAAGAATTTACAGAAGATGAACTTTTACAAAAATATTATACTCATATTATTGAAACATTAACACCAAAACCTGATACAGCTAGTTCAAATTGTATTGCACAACTTCGTGAACAACCATTTGATTTAAATCATGCATATGAACAAGCAGAAAATAAAGGAAAAGAATGTTTAGCACAAATGTTAGAAAAATATCGTGCACGTTTAAAACTTGATCTTGAATTAATTTAAGAAATGATTAATCTTGATAACTATAAAAATAAGAAATTTAAATCAATCTAATACATATTTTTTCTTTAAGGTCTTGAACAAATGAACACAACACCAACAAAGGAAGATTTTGAGGGTGCAGCAAATTTTCTAACTAAAATTTCCATGTTTCATAAAACAAAACAAGCATATGAAAGTGATTTACATAATATGGGTGATGATTCTATGTTATTACGTTTTGGTAAAATATTTGGAGAAAATGCATTACCAACAACAACATGTTCAAATAAGCAATTCATATATCTTATTCATTTATTTTTTAAATCTATTTCACAACTTATTACAATGATACAAACAACACCTGATAATAATGATGAAATTCTATCAATCATAAATACTGTTATTGGAAAACTTTTTTCAACAAAAGAAAATTCATCAATTATTAAACTAAATAATGATGATATTTTTTCACCAAAATTAAATATTGATCAATGGATATGGTTATTAGAAAAATGGCGTGATGCTTTACGAACATTTTCTATTATACTTACAGAAGTTGGAGCATTCGCTCGTTTATTACGTACAGCATTTGGTGTTAGTATTGCACGTTTATTTAATTTTGCTGAAAGAATTGTTTGTAATAATCAAATATTAGATTCAGTTGTTATGAATGAACAATTGTTTCATGCACTTCAAATGGGTTTTTATTTTGGAGTTGCATATGCTATTGTCGATTGTGCACTAGATGAAATTAATAATTTAGATGAAATTTCTTCACAACAATTAGCTATCTTGAAAATAGAAAAAAATGAAAATGAAACATTATTAACACCAGTTGAAATACTAGATAAATGGCTTTTGATTATAGAAGAATTATTAACTGGAGGAGAATTTAATCGAAAAGAAATACCAAAAATACCATTGACATCATTATTATTAGAAACCATTGATAGTCTTATTACATTAACAAAAAGTATTAATGTAACGCGTGCAGTTTTTAAAGACTTGGCTCTTTTATTAAGATCACAACGAATGGATAAAAGAACAATGGAAAATTTTGATACTGATGAAGAACTTTACTTAGGTAACATTTTGTTTCTAATAAGGCATTAAAACTTTTTCTTTATGTTTCCAGCATAATCGAATTAATAATTCTTCGGATATTATTGACAAGAAAAATAGTTTCTGGCATTTTTATCCCTATCAAGAACCTATATCTGCCATTAGAAAGAAAGGACATCATTCATCAAGTATCTTAATTTAATAGTTAGTGTTCAATATAGACTATATACAATTAAATCAATAATAAATTTTCTTATTATCCATATCTATAATGATGACAAATATGAAGTTTTTTGACAGTCATAACTAACAATTGATATATAACAGTTGTCTTTTGACAAGTTACTAAGATACAGATACAAAATTTTTAATCTATGAAAATTGAAAATTATTAATAGAATTCATCAATACGATAAATATTATTCAATCGAACAGTCAAAAGCAGAGAAAACAATGATCACTTCGAAAAATCTAAAGTTATCGATGAATAAATAATATTTGAAGTTATTCTTTGTAGGTACTATGCTCAAATCTCACTTCTCATATACATGTACTATCTGTATGGTTAATGTTCAATCTACTCCTGATGAAAGTGAACGTGTATGGATAATGCCATTTTTGGGTCAATTAACTGATGATTTTCGAGACTTTTATGAAGATTTTCAATCAAATTCTGTTACTTCATTTACACATTATGCAACATTTATTTGTCGTCAACAACCATCACATAAACATCTAATTAATCCATGTTATGTATATTTATATCTTTGTTCTGATATTTATATATCATCTTGTCGTGATATTCAAACTGGTGGTTTTGTTGGTTGTCGAATAACATGTGCATTAAGATCAATCAAAATAAATCTAGGTGCATCTGCATTACGTGAATTTCTTTATTTATTTTGTTATGATAATTTACCATTACATGATTATTTTTGGATATATGTTCGTAGTCATTTTTCTAATATAAGTGATCCTGAAAAATCTTTGATTAGAATAATTGATAAAGCAAGTATAAAATATGCACGAACAAATCGTAAATTAGAAACATATATTTGTGATCATTTAAAACAAATTGAAGATGCTTTACATATTTATCTATTTAATAAAAATAAAAAATCATTATCAGTTGTTGATCGAGATGAATAATTATTAATCTCAGCTATGAATTATAATATAAAAGCGGGTGGTAAACGTTTAAGACCATTATTAATGATGATGGTTTCTGATTTGTACAATCTAGATTTGAAAAATACGTTACCGTTAGCTTGTGGAATAGAATATTTACATATATCATCACTTATACTTGATGATTTTCCAGCTCAAGATAATAGTGATTTAAGACGTGGTCAACCAACATTACATAAAACAGTTATAGATAATGATATACCTAAAAATTTATGTGAAGGTCGAGCACAATTAGCAGCTATTGATTTAATTGCTGTTAGTATGATTTTAATTAATCATGATCTTGTTAAAAATGGATTTTCACCTGAACGTGTTAATCAAGTTGTTAGTGAAATATCTTTATCAATGCATGATTTATGTATTGGACAAATGATGGATTTATGTGCAGCACATATGGGTATAGAAAAAGGAACTGAACTACTTGAAGAACTTGATCATATTGCATGGTTCAAAATAGACAAAGCAATTGAAGTCGTAATTATTAGGTCAGCTAGTTTAACTATCTCATCATCATCAACAGTAAATACTTAATCAACTGAACTTAATAAAATTCGTGAATTAGGTCGTTTAATGGGAATATTATTTATTAGATGTTGAAGGAGAAAATATTGGTAAATCAGCAGCACTTGATATAAAAAATAATACAGTAACTTATGTATCAATATTAGGTGTTGAAGGTACTCGACAACGTTTAAAAGAATTTCGTCAACAAACATTAAAATTAATTGATGAATGTTGGCCATCAGGGGCTGAAACAATTAAAGATGTTGTTAATTATATTGTAGATAGAAAAAATTAAGAAACAAAGCATGTATATTTATATTTATTTACATATATTTCTTTTTCTTTTTTGTTTCATTTTAATCAATTATAATAAATATAAACTTATTTTTATTACAACAAGAATAAAAAAAAAAAGAAGTTAAATGTTAGTTCTCGATAAAGACATTTTGAATTAGATTGATTTGAAAGTATTGTCTTTTTTCTTTCACTCGCTTTGTAATATATGATAATATTCATTTGACAAGTGTTTGTCGAGATTAGATACAACTGTCAAGCATTCGTAATAATTTCCTATTATCAAACTTTAAAAGATATGGTATAATAAATCAATATAAAGTTACATTGCAGAAATACTTAAACTGAAGATTATATTAAAATGTTCGTCTTTTATAATTTTTCTTTCTAACTAATTATCTTAGTATGAATACAATGTTTCATAAAATGAACTTTTTTTAACTTTTCGATTATGCAAAATTTAGATCTTACAAATAGTTATTTCATCATATCGATAAAACTGTGACGATATCTTTCATAGCTAACAGCATATTTATAATTTCTCTTTTATTTTATCACATAAATAAACATTGTCTTGTGCTTTTCGTTATTGATTTTAATTTTCCAAATTCTTTTTTTTTACTATATTTATAGAGAAAAATCTAAAGAAGATGGACGTCGATGCCGGATTTCCCAAAGCACGAAGTGCTCTAGTCAATAATTTCATTTTACAAATTGACTGCGAACATTCGCGCTCAGTGATTGTTACCGGTAAACATACCTTAAACAATTATCACCTCTTTTTATATTTGTTCAAAGTACATACCCACATATATTGTAAGTGTTCATAATTTTGTTTAAGATAATCATTATCAAACTATGAATATGTTAATTCATTGAGCAGTTAGCATATTTATATGCTAAAATAATTGTTAAAAAGATATTCTGATCGAAAAATCTTCAAGTATATCATACATTGAAGTCGATGAAGCTAATCAAATCGTGAAAACGTATATCAATGAAAAGAAAGAGAAAAAGAAAAAGAAACTAAGAGTCCGTTGGATGGATGTCCCATCGTCGATGTGTCTCTTTTTCTTTTCGATGTACATGGGCATATAATTGCATTAATTCATATCGCTTCTTTTCTTTCTTTCTCTCGCTCTCTCTTTTTCGCTCTACGACATTTCACCTTTTTCGTCGATGTGTGTGTGTGTGTGTCTCTCTCTCTCTTTCTCTATTGTATGAAAAAATGTCGCCTCAAGCTACAAGCAAAGAAAAGACGACTGACTGACCAAAACGTTTTTAAAGTGAATAAATGGTCAATAACTCTCTGTATTCATCAGTGCATTAAACAATAAAAAAAAAATGCCTTAAGACAGTTCTTTTTTTTTTTGTGTTGGACTGGTCATTAGAGTAATGACAACAAGTATCTTTTGAAAAGATTGACGACGTTTTCTTTTATTCTTGTTCTACTTATATACTACTACTGCTATCGAACCATTTTTCGAAAAAATAAAAAAGAAATAATGTGAAGAGTCGTCGAAGAAGAGAAAAAAAACGTAAAATTTGTCTCGCATTTTTTTTCATCAATCTAAAGAGCAAACATACACACCCACACTACGAAATAGACTACTTACCCCATCATCATCAGATGAAAAAAAAAAGAGGAAAAAAAGAAAAGAAAGGCATGTCATGAGCACTATTGCGGGTGTTGGTTTGCGTTGTCAAATGATGTCTCTCTCTCTCTTCTTTTTCTTCTCTATTTACCATTCATTTTTTTTCTTCTTTCGCTCTATCTTACCCGTTCGTTCGTTTGTTGATGGTCAAATGTTTGCTTAGACAGGTAGTCACATGAAGTAGCTTACCTGGCCCAATTTTGTCGTCGTTGTCAAAGCCTTACAATGGTGTGGGCTTGCACACACATACACACCTCACATTCATACGTATAAAGAGGCCTACTCCTATTTCAGCAACAACACACACGAGTGCAAATAAAGCAATATATTTGCGTGTACATCGAAAATTGACCACTGGATCACATATGTACAAAAATATATATCGATGGTGTCTGTTTGTCTGTCTATTCTTATCGATGGAGACAATGTACAAAAAGCGTTTGTAAGCAATATCGAAAGCAGGCAACGATAGTGGAAACAAAGAGAACAAGAGAGAGAGAGAGAGAAAAAAGATGAATAAAGTATGGCCGTAAGCCGTTTTCTTCATCGCTCTGACTTTATCGTGACGACAACGGCAGAAAAATCATACATCAAACATACACATGCATTTTTTTTTTACTTCTTTTATATATTTCCTTTCGTTTATGATTGTTTCTATCATCATTCTTATGTTGATTCAAATCCTATTTTAAAGTAAAAGAAAAAAAAAAGAAACGACAAGAGACATCGAAACCTATAACAATAATCGTTATAGAAAATAATTTGTTAATGTTAATGCATAGGATAAAGATCGGTTTTTTTCCGTTAAACATGACAAATTTTGAACAGCAGGAGGGTTTTTTGTAAAAAATAAAATTTCTATCGTTTTTAAAATTGCTTTCAATGAAAGAAAAATAAAACATCTTATAAATAATGAATCGACGAGAACAACGTACAAGACCAAATACAGTAACACGAACGTATCCAATTTATACTATTTCTACATCAGAACTTACTGATGATGATGATGATAATCAAAGTATCATTGAAATAAAACCTATCAAACGATATCGACATCATCGAAAACAACCACTAAGAGTTGAACGGCAAGAATCAATCGTTCCAACTGTTGTTACCGGTAAAAAAAAAATTAGAGAATAATAGAGATTCATGATAGAGTGATAATTAAAGTGGTAAATGCATTTTGTGAAGTCGTTGTTTTATTGGATCGAATTAAAATTTTTAACAAGCATAATTATATAAAATTTAATTTAGGTAATCGCAAACCACAATTAATACAAGTCGTATCAAAACGAAAACAAAAATCAGCAACAATACAAACAGATGAGATACCTGCTATTTTATCAGCAACAGAAACGAATGAAAAATCATCGGTTAGCAATCGACATTTTTCTTTGAAGTGATCTTATCTTAGTAAAATTATAAAGAATATAAATACTTATTCACTATCGATATAAAAAAAAAAAAAATTTTTTTCAGATGAGATCAAAAAATATAAGCATATTTTATCTACTGATAATAAATATTTACAGTTGAAATTATCATGTATCAGAAGTTATTTTAAATTCGTATCTAACATTACCGATTACGTTTGATTAAAATATTTTTTAAATTACTTATATAATGCATATAGTTTCTTTTTTGTTGCTTATTATAAAATTCTTGTCCATAGATTTGATTGAGTATTATCTTACGCATACAATTACGACTATTGAAATCGTCTCTATATTTATATTGCACTCGCTTACTTAATATTGGTTGTAAATTCTTCATGCTTTGTCTCGTCGCGATAAGTGAGTATTAAGTATGATAAGAGTTATTCCTTTTCAACGACAAACTAACCTATGATGTGAAAGTCTTAGCACAATATATTCATACATTTTTCGGTCATTTAAAGATAACTGGTTAGAATTAGAAACAGTTAGTTATATTGTGTTCAAAATAGTTCTTGTACAGAATACTATTTTAGTCGATTTTGTATTTCAATTGAAAATTATTAAACTCAAAATGCATAATAGTTTTTTATGGCTCAGTTTCTTTTAAAAGATGTGATATTTACTTTTGCACGACAGATCTTAACACTTGTATTTTTGAAAAATATTTTTTTGAAACTGCTATTTTTGGTTTCCATAGAAACTACCTTTTCGGTAGAAAGATATTTCACTTATTTGTACAGAGTTCAGTGTTCCTACAATAATGTTTTCGTTTAAACTGTTTCAAGACACAGACTAGGTAAACTAAGTTCTCCGTCAAAACTGCTATTTTGCTTTGTACAGACATAATTTTTTAGACTTTGTTCACAAAATTTACTAATAGCCAGTGGCGGATCTAGAATTTTTGAGTATGCGATATTTCGTCTTCAGAGTATGGGATCCAGACGAAATTTATGGAGGGTGATATTGGATCCAAATGATCAGTTTCTATGAAAGAATTTTTGCGATCGAAGCTTTCGAAAAAAATCGTTTTTTGAATCGTCCCTCCCCCTCCGATAATGTTTGTTTGCAACAGTGCTGCATTTTTGAAGATGCCATATTTATCTACATCGAATTTCATCGGGAAATTTCAAATTTCATCTGAAAATATGCATCCGTTGAGGAGCTATAACGTTTTAGATTTTTGCCAGAAATTTTGGAACCTGAAGGAAAAATCCAAAACGTCATAACTCCTCAACGGATGCATATTTTTGGATGAAATTCGATGTACATTAATATGGCATTCTCAAAAATGCAGCACTGTTGCAAACAAACATTATCGGAGGGGGAGGGACGATTCAAAAAACGATTTTTTTCGAAAGCTTCGATCGCAAAAATTCTTTCATAGAAACTCATCATTTGGATCCAATATCACCCTCCATAAATATCGTCTGGGTCCCATGCTCTGAAGACAAGATATCGTATACTCAAAAATCCTAGATCCGCCACTGCTAATAGCCGTTCAATTTTATTCTAGAAGAAAAACCTGAACATGTATTCGGAAAGGACGAAAAATTGTGGTTCTAACCAGTTGTCTTTTAGTGGTCGAGAAATGAATAAATATTTTGTGTCACGTCTTTTGCGCTATTTTGGGTACTTCATTTTAAGTCAATATTCAAGGGGAAACAAACTGATTTACAGTGACAAAAATTACTAAAAATCAGAAAATTAGTTTGGTTTTTCTTGTTGGTATCATGAACACGTTGCATTCATAGAAAACTATTGAACAACACGTAAAAAACTGATTATTTCTAGTTCATATATGAGTATTCAATACTGACTATTAGTATAGAATTGATAGCACAACACATTCTTTGTTATAAACCTAGAAAATGCGCAGTTAAAGAAGATATTGACTGTTAAACTTTTTCTAGTGTTTTTCAACAGTTTCTCTTCGACAATGTTGGATGACGCATTTTGCCTTAGACATAATAATTTTGCAGAGAACTAAAAGAAACTACATAGATATGATACACTCAGTATTTCAATATATTTAAATCTATATCATAATTTAGAAAAAGAAATCAACTATATGCAATCATCGATGTCTTCGAATATTTGCTTTGATTCTTGCCATATTTATATTAATTATTTCATTACTTCTTCTTGCTTTTTCACTAAATCTATTGGTTAATCCAAATATGACTAAAATACGTTCGGTAGCAATTGTTTATCCACAAGCTCTTCCATCATCAGGATTTACTGGTAAAGGACCAACTGAAACTCTTCTTGTTACTGCAATTATCGGTATTGTAATTAGTACCATTATATTAATTATTTCAGTATTTACCATAATATGTCTTATATGTATTAAATTTCGTTATTATGGATTCTTTTTTTGTATTGGACCTATTCTACTCATTATACTCTTTTTAATATTAATCGGTTTTGCAATATTTGTTATGATCACTGGTGATACGGAATTACAACGACTTGCATCAAGTACAAAAACAACTGTCTATTATTATTATAATTCAACAAGTACAACACTTGTTCGTGATGGTTGGGATTTTGTTCAATATTATTTTAGTTGTTGTGGTGTCAAAGATAATAATACTGATTGGTATCCAGCACCAAGTACAGGTTGGAAATATAATAGTCAACTACCTCGTTCTTGTTGTGGTTACGATTCAAACGATGCTGGACATGCAGGTCGTATATTTGTTGGTACTGATGTACCAACATTAACTGGTATATGTTATTATGGTGATATAGGTCAACCAACATGTTATGATAGTATTAAAACTAATCTTCTTATAACTGTTTTAGTTTTTCTTATTGGTCTTGCACTTATTGTACTTGTTCTAGCTATTCTATTTATCATTCTTATATTCATTTACCGTACAATTCATCATCGTGTAGAAAATTCTATTGAAAAATAAGTTTTTATTTTAATTTTATATAAAATATAAATTAATGATGATCAACATTAGTTTTATCATTAATACCAATAACAGTATCACTTAAGGATGTTTCATCATTTATTTGTTGTCCAATTGGATTGTCAATACCATTATGTAATGATGATCTACGATTTTGTGTAGTTTCATGAAGTAATAATTGTATTCGTTTACCTGTATAAAGTTCTTTTAATTCTCGACGACATAAACCAGTAATAATTGTTGATAAAAGTAAACATGGTACAAGATAAAGTAATGCTGGTTGGGCTGTATTCATTAAATAAAGTGCAACATGAGTTAAAGATAAACCGATAAAATAAGATATTATTGATTGAATATAATAAATAGGCCAACGATTATTACTAGCTATATCAAATATTTTACAAAATGTCAATAAAATACCCTGAAAAAGAAAACAAAAAAAAAGTAATACATAATGAAAAAGAAAAGAATATAAGTATAATTCTTGCAGGATCAAAATATGAAACACAACGTAGCTATTCTGTCTTTTGTTTATTACTATACGTGCTTTAATCACATATCAACAATATATGTCAGAGTGTCATGATGGGATGCAAATTTCTATCCTATAAACTTGAACACTCTTTTTAGATCGTGTTTCACAAAATGCAAAAAAAAAAAAAACAAGAATTCTTTACCGGTAAAATGATATCACCATAACCGAGCATTGATTTTTGTATTGTAGCACATGGATCAACTTCATTTTCAGGTATAAATGCAGGTAAAATAAATAAAAGTGGTACAACTTCACCATTTGTTCCAATACCTAAAGCAACTTGTTCCATAACAGATGGATTTCGTATTGGTTTTCGAGATATTGTATAAGTATTTGATGATGATGATGATGATCCAATTGATGGTCTTACCGTTGTAGTACTACTAGAGTTTGAAGGATTTGATGATTGTTGAAATATTGGAATATATGGTGTAATAAAAACAAAAAATATATCATAGAGAAAAAATGCAAGTAAGATAATTGTAATTGCACGCATATTGCCAAGTCGATAAACAGACGTAACTGTAATACAAATTCCTGCGCCAAGTATATTTTGTAAAATCCAAGCCCAATCAGTATGACGATATACATACCAAATAATTACAAGTGTTAATGATATAGACATTGCAAATAATGTAAACATATTTAATGAACCTAATTGACAGACACATGGTTTACGAATTGTATGCGATGGTGTTGAATACCGACGAATATATGGTACGAAATAACTTAAACGATCGAAACATGATGTTAAAGATGAAAATGCACCAATGCAAAATATAACTAAAAATATAAACAAGACAATCGAGAAGATATTAACATGTTTACGCAGACAAAAAAAAACAATACAAATGTTATCATGACCTGATTTTGTCGACATAATCAAGTATAGAGGTCTACCAGCTCAAGTTCACGAACTCCGTTCAAATGAACTAAAGAACTACTGAAATAGTTCTTTTGAACGAACTGAACTTTTTGAACAGTTCATTTCAAAAGAACTGATTTGTAAAATAAGTAGTTTGTAGAGCTGGGCTCTTGAAAAACGTCCAGTTCGTTCAAAAGAGCTGTTCGATCAGTTCAGTTCTTTTGAAAAGAACTGTTGAGAAAGTTCAGTTCGCTCAAAGGAACTGTTCGATAAGTTCACCTCTTTTGAAAAGAACTGTTCAAAAGAGTTCAGTTCGCTCAAAAGGAACTGTTCGAACAGATCAGTTCTTTTGAAAAGAACTGCTAAAAAAATTCAGTTCGTTCAAAGGAACTGTTTGATCAGTTCAGTTCTTTTGAAAAGAACTGTTCGAAAAAATTCAGTTCGCTCAAAGGAACTTTTCAAATAGTTCAGTTCACGTTAGTGAACGATTTGAACAGTTCATCAGTTCGGAACTAAAACTGAACTTGCCGACCTCTAATCAAGTAATAATAATGATGATCATCATCATCATATACTTCAAACTTGGGTATTATTTAGTTATGAATTAACTTTTAGAAAACTATCAATGTCTAATAATTTTGATCTTTCATCTCGACAGTGTTGAATGTATCTTTTGTCAAAAATTTGATATGTTGGTAATTGGCGTGTATGAAAATTCAAAACAACTGAATAGGAACAAGCTAGTGTCAGGTTTTTTTTGCAACGTGACAGTTTCGATGATATAATAAATTGAAGCGAAAGTCTTGGTACAAAGTATTCACTCATTTTTCAGTGACTTAAAGACAACTGATTAGAGTCAGAAGTAGTTAGTTAGAATCAAACTTTCCTTTTGGAGTAAAATTAGACAACTATCATCAGATTGTGTTCAAAATAGTGTTTGTACAGAATACTATTTTAGTCAATTTTGTATTTCAATTGAAAATTATCAAACTCAAAATGCATAACAGTTTTTCATGGTTCAGTTTGTTTTAAAAGATGTGATATTTACATTTGCACGACAGATTTTAATATTTGTATTTTAAAAAAATAGTTTTTTGAAACAGTTATTGTTAATTTTCACAGAAACTACCTTTTTAGTAGAAAGATATTTCACTTATTCAGTGTTCTACAATAATGTTTTCGTTTAAACTGATTCAAGACACAGACTAGGTAAACTAAGTTCTCCGTCAAAACTGCTATTTTGCTTTGTACCGGCATAATTTTTAGACTTCTTCCACAATATTTACTGATAGTCGTTCAATCTTACTTGAGAATGAAAGTTTATAGATATTTTTGGAAAGAACGAAAGATTCTGATTACTTTTGAGAATGTAATCAACAATTCTATCGAACAATAATGATTCTAGGATTCAACCTGATATGATGGAATTCTCTTTGACTTCATGCTATTCTAAAGGATTTTGAATATAGAGATTTTCATTCCATGTTAGTCACTAGAATACACATGTATAGATGACTTATACCAATTAAAGTGACGTGCTTTTATAGTTTATTGTGAGATCATCATCATTTCTGTTAGAGAACGTAGCGGCTATGCTATTAGTTTGCCATTTATTTTTTCACTATTGATTAAGCTAAGTACATTTAGATGCTAATAGATTTCAATATACATTATACTCATCAATCGCCTTATCTTCATCGTCTGTTGTCAAAAATACACTATATCTCACAAAAAAATTCAACGAACAGATAATTGTTTTTGGATACAAAAAAAAAGTGTTAGGACAATATTTACCTTGTAATATATATATCATCACTTTTGGAAAATAATAAAGTAATAAAAGCCAACCAACAGCAAAACAAATAATAAATATAATAACACAACAAGTCATAGGAAGCACTGCTGGTTCATTATTATCTAATGCTTCATTTGGTACAATAGAATTTTGTTTAACTAATATTTTCGATGTTACTCTATCATTTGTAAATGATGTTGTATTTAAATTAGATAATTCATGATTTGTATCGATATTCTGTTTTTTTATTTTATTTTTAAATTCATCAGCTGCCCAAAAATTACCACAAAGTAAAATAATTAATACTAATAGAAACATTAATAATATAGATGGACGAAATTTTCTCGTCATCATAAATGGATAATCAATTGATAATTCAATATTACTTAAATTTTCATATTTATTATTCATTTTAATAAAATCATTTGTCAAAAAAATTAATACTGGAATTGTAACAGGCATTGTTGTTGTATTATATGATAATTCATAACGAGCATTTGTTCGATTTGTTATTATCATTAAAGAAATTTTTTGTCCAAAACGTTTTTCAATATTCCATGCATGTTCAGTCATTTTACAATCATGTTCATAAATAATAAGAATTGTATTTGATGGTAATAATTCAGGTAAAGAATTATTAAGATTTGATATATTACAAGCATTAAAAGATGGTGATGATAGATATGGTGAATACCAACTAAAATTTTTTATATCTATTGTACGATTATTTGGTAATTTAGCAAGTTCAATACAATAACGATGAATATTCGATGTCGAAGATGTTGAACGAAGAAGTAAATTGATTGATTCATCGGTATAACAGAAGACTGTTGGAAAAAATAATAAGAAAAATAGCAACATTATTGTTACCATCTTTTATCTAAATGGAAAAATAAAACAGATACATACAGACACAAAGATATTTTATTCTTCTGTTGCATGTATTATTTTCACTAATGTTAAATTTTTTTTTTCTTCCATTTCTTCTTTTCTTTTACTTTTCATTAGAATTGCCAGTTGTCGCCAATCGTATATGGGGGTTATGCTCTCATATATTTACTCTTTTTAATTATACTGCATGATGTATCACACTCGGATAGTTTTTCTTTTTTAGACAAAAAAAAAGAAAAAGAAAAATAACTATCACTTAATACACACTGATTATATATATACAGAAAGATTAGTAACTGTCAATCATAAAAAGTAACTAGAAAAAGAATATTGGAGTTAAAATCGTAGAAGTTTTGACATTTATTCAACATGTTTTTCTTTGCCTTCGTTCTGTTCTTATTTTTATTTCGTGTAATATGAGACAAAAAAAAAAAAGAATGGATTTAGATTGAATTTATATTTGACAAATATTTGCCAATCTGTTTTTATAGTTCATACACACGAAACAATGTTCTCCAGCTTCTTTTTTCTCTTTTCGTATTGTAAACTTTACCTACACCAGGGTCAACAGAAGAGAGAAGAAGAAAAAAAAAAATGTTTATTCATATAGCACACACTTTTATGCATATATATCGGCAATGAGAGAGAAGGTCGAACTCCTCTCTTAACATATTCTATGTTATATGATTAATTCAGCTCAACTTGTTTATACATATACAATGAAGCAGATTTTCACTCTTTTAATCCTTGTTTTTTTACCAATATATACTAAACAAATATCAACTATAATCAAAGATCCATTTGAATATTTTAAAAAACTTGCACGAGATATACAAATCTATTCACAATGTGATCGTGTACCTCCATTTAAAACTCAATTGGACGCATCATTTTTTGATATTGATTTAAGACAATGGGATCGAAAGAAGAATCCACCACCAATACATCGTTCACTTGAAGCTTTTGTTCAATTGGATACATTAAGACAGAGTACTTATTTTAGTCATATTCTTCAAGGCAATAGTCAAGCAAACGTACCAGGTATATTAAACTGGGATGTTCCGAGGTCACTAGCATTTGTTTTTTGGGAAACTAGTGAGCAAAGAAAAAATAAAACATTGGAACTTGGCTAGAGTAAAACGAGAAGTTTTCAGGATTGAGAAGCGATTATCCCCTCGGTTCCCTACCGCTCGAAACACCTCTGATGTTAGGACTCGAAATTATAAATACTGATAGACTATAAAATACTTACTGTTGTTTGAAAATTGAGTTTGAATTAAAATTTTCTTTTGGAGATAAGAAGCATTATTATTTTGAATAGGATAGTAGTATCTAGAATTTCAAAATTGAATAGTATTCTTGTCAGGTTTCACGACAACAGGTTATTAATGATCAAATCTTCAAAAGATCATAAAATTACATGAAAATTTATAGCCGTTAAAGTTCTTATCTATCGTCTCTTCTAAGATAAAAAATAAGATTTATTAACTTGAAAAATATTCACTGCAAAGTTAACTCATAAGATGATGAGTTCCTATTTTCAGAAAACTCTTTATTAGCTGTTTGGATTTCGACTTAAGACATTCCAAAACTATTAATTCTAGCAGATAAAATCTTACAGAAAAGACAGCTAGTAGCCATGTTTAATTCTACACAATCAATTTGTTTGAAAACATTTGTTAAAGCTATTTTTTAAATAATCTTTGATTAAAAAATTCATCATCTTAGTTACGACATTCCATTTAGTGATTAGTGACTGTTTGATTAATGAAGTTTCTCTATTAATTCAAGCATTTGAAAAATACGTAGTACATTATCTGTAGAATAAGATACGTATAAAATAATTATGATACGTTCTGATGCAGGATAGTAAAATAAATAATTGTGTTGAACTGTAGCTGATGAAGATCGTTCGATTGTAATTCTTATAATTCGCAGAATCTGAACCTATTAATGTGTGACATATCTAGAGTTTGTCACCTATGATCACTTCAAATATGTGTTGTAACTAAATTAATGAACATTTTTAATCAAGGATTATTGGAAAAATACTTTTCATAAATCGATTATGTGTAATTAAACATGATTATTAACTCAAATACTTCCTGAAAGGTGTGTGTGTTAGTGTAAGCGAGGTTCTTGTCTTTAGGTTCACAGATCTCGTTTTCATACTTTGAATTACTGGTTACATGAATTTCGGCCCACGGAATTTTTGGCCCGGACTTTCGACCCGGTCCGAAATTCCGGTGAATTTTCGGGCCGGGCCGAAAGTCCTAGAGGAATTTCGGCCCATCCTTAGAATGATCTCATTGACCCCTAAAAAAAAAGTTTAATTTTTTTAATTAATTGCTAGATATCGTAGTACTGAGCAGGACGACATGTTGCTGAGCAGGATGACGTGTTGCTGAGCAGAACGGCATAGTGCTGAGCGGGACGATATGGGCGTGGACATGGCTGTGGACGACGGTTAACGCAAAAAAGATACGAACATACCATATACGCCTGCACCAGCCCTAGCACCCCACAAGCTTACATCTACACCCACACCCATGGTATTCTGCTCAACACTGCGCCACGTCGTCCTGCTCAGCACTACGTCGTTTCGCTCAGCACTATGCCGTCCTGCTCAGTACTACGATATCTAGCAATTAATTTTAAAAAATTAAACTTTTTTTTAGGGATCAATGAGGTCATTCTAAGGATGGGTCGAAATTCCTCTAGGACTTTCGGTCCGACCCGAAAATTCACCGGAATTTCGGACTGGGTCGAAAGTCCGGGCCGGAAATTCCGTGGGCCGAAAGTCTGGTCTCCCTCAATTACGCCTCACATTCAAATCCTTTTAAAGAGTGTCCTTCTACAGGTTCATTGTAATTTATATATACGAACAAAACTCTTCCATCTTGTTCATTTCCTTACATTATATTATTATTTTGTTTTTTGTTCGTAGGAATACTCTACTTCTATCTTTCTGCTGCTGCTCAACTTCATACTCTTAAACAATTAAGTCTCATTTATGGAAAATCGTTTGATACAGTTCAAACAGTTCGTTATGCATTTGATTCTAATGAAGTATTTCGTGTACCATGGTATAAAGTCGGTGGTAGTTTTATTAATTTTGAACGACCATTTAGTATCTATGCATTTTCAATTGATTCTCCTGAACATTTATCAATAAATGATATTGGTGTTGGACCATTTGCAACAAATGATTATACATTAAGATTTTTTGAACATTTTAATCATGTTTATAATAATCCAATAAAAATGTTTCGTAATTATGATGAATATTTTCATGCATTAATACAAACATGGTTAACGCGTTTAAGATCTGATCAAGATGATTTAGCTGATTGGGGTAAAGAAACAAAAGAATTTAATGATCTTTTAAAACATGGAAAATATTTTCCGCTACCTTATCGATCAGTACCCAAACCTGTAAGAAGTGATATTACTACTAAACAATCAGAATTAAATCCTGTTTTTCCATATGCTGATCTTGTTTATGATTATTATCGTGATCCAAATTATTATCGATATGCTCGAGGATGGTTTCTAAATCAAACACAAGCTGAACAAAATCAATATATGTATGAATTGAAATGTAAAAAATTAAACAAAAAATAATAAATTACTATTTTTAAGGTTAAATTATGGAGTTTTACCTGATCGTATGCAGCGAAATTTTCTTTTTCCAATGTTTGAACAAAGTCGTTGGACAGGACCTTATATATATTGTCCATTAAATTCACATGAATGGCTGATTTCATCTATTCAACCAATCTGGGCAACAAATCATTTTAATTATAAAAATCGAGCTCTTTTTCAAAACAATCGTCGTTATAAGTAAGTGATATAATTTCATATTTTCTATGACAAATTCAAAGACTAAATTTCTTAAAGTTATGCTGGTGTCACAAATGTGGAACTAGCATATACACAACTTAATGTTAATCAATGTCCCGGTGAACACATACGAAATTTTTATGCTAATTCAGCCGTATGTGATCGCAATGCTTTTGTAAGTAATTTAATGATACTTTTGATATGGAATGGTTACTTGATCAAATTTTCATTTATGAGAAAATACATATTCAAATTGATTAACATCAAAATTCTATAGATATGAAAGGATTCTGATCTTACAGAGACAAACTTCTACTCTTTCTTACGATAATTTTTAAATAATAGATTTTGTGGAACTCATATATACATATATATTCAAGAAAAATAGTGAGTGTACGTTTAAATCGAGATGTTTGTCGTCTTCGCAATCAGAATCAAAATTTAGAGGTTAATGCATATGATTTTCATAGCACGCGAAGACAACAGGTTTCAGACTCCTTTCCTAGGATTGTTTAGTAACGTAAAATGTGCAGAGCGGCATTATTCAACAGGATATATGAGGAAAGTTTCCTAACTGATAAATTACTTTTGAGTCGAGACTATGCACATTGTGTAGATAAGAACCACAGGAAAACTAATGTTCGTGATTCGATTTGAAATTTTGCATAGAGTAGTAGCATATCTTTTACATCGTCCATATAAACCGACAGATTTAATGTTCGTATTTTAGGATAGAAGCAAATCAAAAGACTTGAAACTTCTTATAAAGGCTTGTCTCTATGCAAAAGTGCAAATCAAAAATCAGTCTTCTTCTAAACTTGAATGACTGGAATAAGTTTTTGAATTTTTCAAATACTGCATATATTGAGTTTTGCGCAGATAAAAATTTATATTAATGATGTCAATGATGATGAATAGTAATGCATTCCTTTGTCACACCCGTCATATGCTCAATATAAAAAGTGTGAACTGAAGAAGTTATATCGTTAGGAAATACACCTAGTAACAAGACAAACAATCATTCGGTTCTATTTAGCAAGGTGAAGAATTACAGAAAAAAGTCTCTCAAAGCTACAGAGAAACCATTGATTCAACAGTGTTTTTTTTTGAGAAAAATCTATTCTCAGCTAGAACTTTTA